CGGGGAAGAACCAGGAATTTTCTCGTCCTTTGATTCTGAGTTTCCTGAAGGGGGCATGCTTATTTACAATTTCCATCAAAGTCTTCTTGCTCATGCTAGCTCGACATCTGGTAACAAATCTATTTGCCTCCATTCAATGGGATGTCCAGAAGTTCGTAAAACTACAGGTTCAGGATCTCCAGCTCCTTCTTCTTGACTGGAAAAAACGAAGGCCCCATAATCAGTTCTGGATATGAAGCAAACAAGGAAGTGACAAAATTGCAGTTCCACCCTCGTCCGCTAGGGGCTGGTGTCAGAAGTGAGCAAATCCTCATTGGCTCCTTTGCCAAATTCACAGCAGAATTAAACATGTTTACAGCCTGGTCACAAAAACATATTTTAGGTTTAAAAGATCTAGTTTACACTCATGACAACTCTGATGGGGTGAATTTTTTTGTTACTCTTCAGTTTATGTGTATTAAATAAATCTGAATAATTAATGACTTCTGAGCTAGCTCTGAAAAAAGGCCTCAGCCTCATGTTAATAGATGTTTGGCCATTCGACTCTCTGAACTTTAGTCTTGTCTGTGTGTTTGTGTTAGTGTTTCGATGTTAATCATGGAATTAGGTGGAATAATAAGCAAGCTGTGGTTACTAACAGACCGTCCAAGCAGTTTCTGCTCCTTTTTATCAGTAAATAAAATTATAGTTCTGTACTTTATTTCGCATTGTTTTAGTGATTGATCCTTTTTTCTGTGTTTCGACAATATCTGAACAAGAGTCACATATGTACCCACAGCAAACCCACTATTATTAAATATGCTAAAACATGTGTCCTGTATCAGATCTGCATGTGTAAAGTTTGCAGGGGGGAAAAAACGCATCAAAATCGGTCCAGAATTCAAGGAGTTATGGTTGATTTACCATGCTGACACTTCAATGCCTCTGTCAGACCGATCCAAGATGGCGGCGACACCGTCTCAAAAATTGACAATAATACCTAGCTGCGGACGTAGCCCCGGCCAAACACGCCCCCGGCACACCCCCGGCCAAACCCCCACCCCCACCCCTACAAAACACGCCCCCCTGTTGAGCTACTGCGGCCCTCCCAGCGAACAACACAATTGAAAGAAAACAAATAAAGAAATAGTAATAATGTAATTAAACAGACAGGACTCCAGGTTTAAATATGCTACGTCCGCAGCTAGACCTTACTCAAAATTGAGTCCAACCTGGAAGTACCAAAAATTGCAGTTCCACTCTCATCCGCTGGGGGGCTGGTGTCAGAAGCAAGCAAACCCTCATTGACTCCCATGTTAAAAATACCAATTTCACAGCAGAAATAAACATGTTTACAGCCTGGTACCAAAACATGTTTTTTGTTTAAATTATCTAGTTTACACTCATGACAACTCTGAGGGGGGTGAATTTTTTTCTCACTCTTCTGTTTAAGTGTATTAAAAGCCTAAAATTCTGTATAATTAATGAGCATCAGACCCACGTGACCACAGAGCTAGCTCCGTGGAAAGGCCTCAGTAGAGCCTTGGTCTGGTTTGGAAACTGCTCCGGTATTTTGAGTCTCTGTGTTTGTATATTCTTTTTTGGATATTTTTTGTGCAATTGTTGGACAAAATGACTTGCTGTGGCATTAATTGCACTAATAGAGCGTCCAAGGAGTCTCCATTTTTTTCGGTAAGTAAAATTATATTTATGTATTTTAGGTCGCTGCTGAGCTGAGGTTAGATTTTAACATGTACTGTTTAACCATGAAATTTAAATGTAATAGGGTAAAACCCAGTGCATTTAACATAATGCTGCACTTTAGAAAATGGGTTGAAATATAACATGTTGGTGGAGTTGGGTTCCGAATATCGGCTTGTGGAGCTCTCGGGAGACCGATGTTTTCCACCCGTTTCTGCCCTCCCTGCAGCTCAGCGCATCTCTGTCTGATCGCAGCTTCTGTCTGCTGCGCGGGCTGCCGGCTTTCAGCAGCTTTCGGGAGACCTCTGTGCTCCACCCGGTTTCCCGGTTTTACCCAGTGGTCAGTCCGGCGTATCTCTGATTCAGAAGCTCTGGTGTTGTCCACAGTTAACTCCAGTTGTAGCTAGGTTGCTACCTCCGTTAGCTTAGCTCCCACCGCCGCATTAGCTTTGGGTTAGCTTCAGGTTAGCTTGTAGCTAGTTCGACCGGGTGTCGTCAGTTGATCCCAGCCTTACAGCCCCACCCTCAGCTCCACCTCTCTGCCCTTTTGTGGAATTGTCTGGGCTTGACGGAACCTGTGACATGGTCAAAATGGCGGTGGTGGCCACCTCCCATTTAGCCTCAAAAATGTGTTATTGGAGCCTATGGAAACCCATTGTCCAATATATATATATATTTTTTTTTACCGTGTCCTGTCTGGCTGTGAAGCAAGCAGAATTGATGTCTGAATGCTGGTGACAAGCCTTACAGATTTATTCTCAGGTGGAGCATCAAAGCGTTTGCTTTTAATGTCACGCCTGATACTTAAAACTTTTTTGTTATTGTTGTTGAATGCTTTGTAATTCCGACCAGACACGGAGACAGAGGTGAAAGAGAAAGGAAGAGAAAAGGTGGAGAGAGAGAGGGGGGGGGGGGGTTCCACAAAAATAAACAATGAACAAGAGTCTGCTTCTAAACCTGCAGAAAAAGACAAAAAAACAAAAGGACACAAAAAAGGGACACAACAACAATACAACAAGATCTACCTATCACTGCGTCAACTTGATGAAAAAAAAACAAAAAAAAAACAATATATATATATATATATATATATATATATATATAAATAATCAACATTGCTTAACTGAAGAATCACGATAATAAATCACAATGCATTAAGTGCCCCCCATAGTCTTAAGACATGTGTTGAACGTGCCCAAGCCCATACTTTTGAGAGCACCATGTGAGCACCTGTGTGTGTACACGCGCTTGTTTATTTAAGGTTTCTCTATAGGAGCGTCCAACAGAGAGTGTGAGGGACCACAGATCCGCCCCCCAAAGATGCGCAGGAGACGGGGGGAGCTCCAAGTCCCAGAGATCCAGGCGTTGCCCCAGAATGCAGGAACCCCAAGGAGACTGCAACCAGAAAGGCCCCCGCCCCCCTCGAGAGGCACAGAGGATCGCCCCGGGGGGCCACAACCAGCAGCCGGCAGAGTCCCTGGAGATATCAGCGGCAAGCCCACAGGCCCGCCCGCAGCCTCCCACCCCCTAGCCGGCCGAGCCCGGGACCCAGCGACCCGGGACCCGGGGTGACCACCCCCGCCGGGGACCCAGCAGAGCCCAGGGACCCAGACCCCACCAGGCAGCCACCGGGATCTATCAGGCAGATGCCAAAATCTTAAATCCCCAGACCCGGTTGCCACGAACACTCAGGCAGACCATGGCACAAGCCCCCACACCAGGTGTGGCAGGGGGAGGGGGGACAAAGATCTATATCATCAAGAGAAGTTCCAGGAGAGGGGAGGACCCAAAGGCCCCACCTGACATATACAGTCATACACAAACACAGTCATACACTCCCTCCCTCATGCTCACACATGCACATACAACCCAAGACTTACAAAAATGCACGCCGGACACTCACTCATGCTCCCCATACACACCCTATTAACTCTGGTCCCGGTACTGCTGCACATGGGGTACAACTATCACCGGTAACCAGAGTTTGACCCTTTCTGCTGGGGTGCTGATGAGCAGGCTCCCCCGCCCAACGCTGAGCACAGCAACCCACCACCCCAGACCCCAACCAGACGGCCAGATCTCCCTCCTAGCCTCTAGCCCCAGGAAGCCTAGCAACAACAGAGGTGGCCAAGACCCCTAGTCTCCCTCCACCTGCTCCAATATAGTGTTGTGTGATCATGAGGTGTATTCCATGGCTGTGGTGAGTGGGCAGTGCGGGCATCATCTGGCATATGCCAGCTGATGCCACCGCACCACCCCACTTACACCCTCAGCCATCAGTGTCTAAGTGCGGTTTAAAATTGGAAGTGGGCACCGGCACTCGGGAGGAGGCTGAAATATCCCCCTGCCAAATGCCGTTGAATGTGCTCACTCCCAAGGCCCTAAGTGTGTGTTTGTGTGGAATGTCGTCAGTGGAAGTGTATAAGGTGCAAATAAAATTGGGGGGCAGGTTGCCACAGGAATGCGGAAATGGGGTCCATACCCGCACTCCCTGACTTGCCCACCCCCCAAGGTCCTATGTGTATGTTTGTGTGATGATGTGAGGGAGCAGGAGGAGAGAAATATGCGGGGATGGGGAGGAATGGCTGGTTGGGCTTAGCCCTCCAGGGAGCCAGCTCCCCTACTGGCCCCAATAGGCACCTCTGTTGTCAAACTGCCACCCAGGGCATGGAGACCCCAGCCATCCTGCCAGGGCCCAAAGCAGCAGCATTACAGAGCCTCACGGAGTCCGAGGGCACCAACCCAGCCCCATCCCAGCAGAATATCTATGCCCACCCCTGCATTTGCACAACTTCCAGAATATATAAGACATGGGACATCCAGGTAAGGTTTGGTCCTCCCCGTCCTGGACCTCCCCCTCCCCTGTGATGGAACGGCAGAGGAGCCAAGGTCTACCTGATGCCCCCGAACCCGGGCCAGGCACTGCTGAGTGTTCCTGCCTTCTTCCCGGCAGCATACATGTCAGGACCCGACCCCCAAGGCCCCGCCCAGATCCCCACACGGGGCCGGCCACCCCCAAACCCCGAGCCCCCAGGCCCCCACCCAGACCCGCGCAGGGGTATTGCAGCCGCCAGGCAGTGACCCATGGCCGCCGCCAAGATCCCCAAGGGGCCCCACTCACAACCGCCAGTAGTCCACCCCCCGAGGCAACCCAAGCTCCTCCAGAGGGGGGCAACAGCCCCCCAGTCCCAGACACCCCCAGTGAACCCACCTCCAGGGAACATCCGGATACTCCAAACTCAGACCCCCCATTGTCCAATATTTATGTTGATGGTCTATAGTCTAGAACACATTTTTTTTTTACAATTATGCACATCAGATAGGAAAACATTTGGATGATTTATTTAATAAACAAATGTTTAATGTAAAACCAATGCTTTTCACCGTGTCTGATGAGGGGAATTATCCACTTTAATGTTGCAGAAAGCAAACATTTGCAACACTAATTTATCAATATAATTAAATATCAGCCAACTCAATACAGGAAAACAAGTCAAGCGTTTGTATTCATATCGCACAAAATTTAATTATTTACAACACTTGAGTAGCAGAGAAAAAAATAAAAATAAAATAAAAATGTATAAATGAATTTCTTTGTGCATCACAGTCTGATTTTTAACATTTATAATGTAATCCTTTGAGATGTAAACATTAACCCTCCCACTGTCTTCACGGGTGACCCCGCCATGAAATTCGACCATTGAGCAGGGTTGATGGTTTATCCCTTGAGGTCCACGTGGCAGGGGTGAGGTGGTGCTCACTCCTCACCCCTGCCACATGGACCTCAAGGTATAAACCATCAATCCTGCTCAGTGGTCGACTTTCCTGGCGGGGTCACCCATGAAGACAGTGGGAGGGTTAAAGCATGAGCCCAGGTGCAGTCATGTATGTACAACATGGAGGGATACATTTATGATGCAATGTCATTCCAGAGTCGTTCGTTAGGCAGAATCTGACACAGTCGCAGGCAGCAGCTGATGGTGGGCTCGTAAAACACAGTCTCTGCTTCCTCGCGGTTTGTCACGCTTTTATTTTGGCAGACAGAACGAGCAAAGAGTGATGGTTTGGGTTCCTTGACCAAAGTTTTCTTTGTCACACACCCCAACTCGATGAGAGCCTGAGGAGAAGGCATTGGATTAAAAGAAGAGCCAGGGCGGTGTGTGTGTGTGTGTGTGTAAGGGTGGGGGGGGTGGGGGTGGGGGGGTCTATTTACCTGCACAAGGTCCAGCACCACCACTGGTTGCAGAGCGTTCTTGTAGTGTTCCAGGAGAGCCTGCTGTGTGACACCCGGCAGGGACATGATGTGGTAAAGGATGGCCTCAAGCAAGCCCTTACACACTGGACGGTTCACCTTCCCATCAGTGAAGCGCCACGGACGGCTGATGAAACTCACATTTTCCCTTCTAGAGATAGTTTTAGAAAAGCAGAAATGAGACGAACAGAGTAGACAAAAGACTGCTAGTAACTCAACGGAGATACTCACTCGTCATCAGCTGACTCTGTTGGAACACTCTCTGCCTCCTCTTTTCCGTCCTCATCTAAATTGCTACTTCTGGTCCTCTTTCTAACCAGTTTTTGCTCGGTTTCCATCTTTTCCTGTCCGTCTTCTCCTTTTTCCCTCTCAGGGCATGTCTGCATTTCCCCCTCCTCTTCTAAATTTGGTGATTTTTCTTCCCCTCTTCTTTCCTCAGAACGTGTTTGCACTTTTTCCTTCTCATCTATTTTCTGAGGTACATCTCCACCTCCATCTTCTGCTGTCTGTCTCTGCTGTTCCAGCTGTTTTTCCTCACCAGGTTTCTCTGTCATGTTACTCAACAATCCATCTGCATCATCTCTACCAGGACCTTTGTCCTCCTCCACAGCCTGTTTCTTTGCAGGTGGCTCCTCTGTCCTGTGGGGCTGCTCTGGGTGACATCTCTTGCGCTTAGAGGGGATGCTGTGTTGACTCTTCAGAGACGTTCGTCTCTCAAAGGTAAACTTGGATCTAGAAGTCTGCTTACAGTTTACAGTCAGCAGCCAAGGATCTGCGTGCTGCATGAGGACCCAACGGACACCCAAGCTCCCAACTCTCACCACCTGGCCTTCTTCTTGTAAATCCTGAGGCCAAAAAAAAACCATCTCTCAGATACCTGTCCCCTACATGGTTCTAAAAACTTGTGTCTGGAATTTGAGCCAGCTGTGTTTACCTTCAAGTACTGCTGCAGGTTTCGTGTGTGTCCGGGCTGCAGCTCCTGCAGGTGGGCGCCGTACAGGTCACGCTCATCCAAACCATTCATACCAGCTTCATCCAAGCTCCTCCTGAGCTGAGTGCACACTTCAATGTCCTCATCTGTGTATCCTCTTTCCTCAATGAAATGCCTGTCACACTCCTCCGCACTGGGTGGAGAGGAGGACGGCGACCGGATATAGGCCGTGAGGACGGAGGGCAGCAGGGATGGGCCACATTTAGTCAAATCTAATTGTGGAGGGGCTTAAACAGAAGGAAACAAATAAATTGGGACCATTTTTCTGATGGTAAAACTTTTTAAACCACACTGGTACTCACTCTCGTCACTGAAAAGATGGTGAGCAGGTTTGCCACGCAGCTTTAGATTCACAATACACGACTCCACCACAATGTAATCGTTTGTAGGGAGGTTACGTAAATGAACTAAAGAAAACATACAAAACAACATGTCTTACAGCTCTGAATTGAGCTAAAAACAAATGTTTTAAAACCAAAAGTAACTAGAAGCGTTAAAGGAATAAGAACTAAATCATCTGTTTCATTAAAGACCAAGTTCCCTCGTTTTTCCCAACACATCTGCAGTGGTCTCTGGTAAAAATTTATGTCTTGTGAGTCGATCTCTGTGGGTAAAAAGCTCTGGGACTCCTGTTTCAGGAAGTAGAAATAAGCCAGAGGAGAAGTGAGCAGAACACAGCAGGTTTTAGAGTTTTATTTCCTGATATTTGAACATCTCGCCTCTGATTGGCCACACAACACTAACTGTTTGCTTTGCGACGCTGATGTTTTATCTCCACAAATAACACAAACCTGAAGAAGTTCTGCTGTGCTGTGGAGCTGCTAATGGTTAGCTTCAACTAGCCAAGATGTGCTCTGCTCCCTCCTGGACGCTAAAAACAACAGTCGTCCCCATCGCAAGCCAAGATGGGTGAATCCATGAATGCTAATTTAACAATGTAAGGTGAATCTGAATGGCTTTTCTAATCTGAGCGCTTCCCTATCTATTTTTTTCCACGGCTAATGCAAGAAATAGGGGTAGAAGATTATTTTCTGGCTTAGCTTGCATGTTGGACTCAGTGACCGATCACATTTCAAAAGTAACAGGTAAAAAATGGTTTCTAAGTGAACTTGGTCTTTAACAGACTTCAATCTAAAGTAAAAATATTCTAAAACATTTATAGTTGCTACTCAGATACAAGCAAGGCGACACATCTGGAGACCACATGAATCTAAAGTAGCGTTACCGATTCCAGGACAGCAGTATCCCCTCATCAGTAAGAAGTTGGTGTGTGACGCTTGGTGTGAAGTCACATGGAGCCCCTTTCTCCCCTCGACATTATTGTCATTATCGTCGTCTTCATCTTCATCATCCTCCTCTTCCAGTGTAGCCAAACTGAAATAAATTAAACATTTTTTTCAGACTAAAAGATCTGTTCATGTCTCTTAGAATGAAATAGCATTGTAACCACCTCTGTCTTAATGCTTATGGACTCTACTACCTAGAAGTATCGGTTAACCTAGTTATTTGCATCATACACATCCCTCTGAGACTTCTACTCTTATTTCATCTACTACATCAGCAGCATTGTCTCTCCTGCCTCTCCTACAGCCTCCATCCACTCTGGAGTGATTCTCCTCTTATCTTTCTGAGTGTTCCTTTTCTGTGGCCGTCTCAAAGTTTCGGTCCTCCACCACCTCCCTCATCCATGGTGTCCCACAAGGTTCTGTGCTGGGGCCTCTGCTCTTCTTCCTCTATTTGCTTCATCTTCAGCACATCCTGAGCTCCTTTAACTGAATCTCTTTTACCATCTTTATGCAGATGACATCCAACTGTGCATCTGCTTTAAGCCCCATGAGATGTCTAAGCTGCAGCTGTTACACACCTGCTTAGACTCCATCAAAACCTGGATGGTGGGAACTTTCTACAGCTGAATGAAGATAAGACTGAGATCCTCATCTGTGCCCCAGACAAGCTGGTTCCCAAAGTCAGAGACTCTCTTGGTCAGCTTGCTTCGCACACCAAACCTTCCGTCAGGAATCTTGGCGTGACCTTTGACCCAGCTCTCACCCTGGATTCTCATGTCAGTTCTCTTGTTCGCTCTTCCTTCTTCCATCTCAGGAACATTGCTAAGCTGAGTCCCATTCTGTCCCGCTCTGAACTTGAGACAGTTCTCCACACCTTCATCTCCTCACGCTTAGACTACTGTAACTCTCTTTTCACGTATCTGAGCAGAACCTTCCTGAACCGTCTACAGGTGGTTCAGAATGCCTGTGCTCGGCTTCTGACCAAGTCCTCCAAACACACCCACATCACCCCGCTTCTCCTCCAGCTTCACTGGCTGCCAGTCAACTTCAGGGTTCATTTCAAGACCCTGGTTCTGGTCTATAGGGCCTTGGTGGTCAGAGGGGCAGACGACGCCAAATAGCAGCCTCGCCTCTGTCAGACCTCCCCAGGGCGGCTGTGGCTACAAGTAGCTTACCATCACTAGCAGTGTGTGAATGTGAGTGTGTGAAAGTGTCTTTGGGTGTCTAGAAAAGCGCTATATAAGTTCAATGCATTATTATTATTACATGGACAAGCACCATCTTACATTGGTGATTTTCTTAGTCCCTACACCCCCAGCAGGTCCCTGAGGTCCAGTGATCAAAGCCTAATGGTTGTGCAGCACCAGGCTAAAGGTCAGAGGTGACAGATCATTTGCTGCTGTGGCCCCCAGACTCTGGAACTCTCTCCCCCTGAGCCTGAGATCAGTGGACTCAGTGGTCTCCTTTAAAAAGCAGCTGAAGACTCACTTGTTCAAGCTGGCTTTTGTATGACCTTCTTCACCACTCTCTCTTTATTCTGATCTTATTCCGCCTTTCCCGGGATCCACTGATTTCCCTCTTTCCTATTAATTTTCTCTCTCCCTTTCCTTACATTTTAATCACTTTTTATTCTCATTTTAAACATATTTTTAATAAAATAAAAATATTTTTAATATTTAAATATTTTTGTTTTTGCTAAGTGTGTTGTGATTTCTATCATGAGACTTTCAGTTTTCTTTCTTTCTTTCTTTCTTTCTTTCTTTCTTTCTTTCTTTCTTTCTTTCTTTCTTTCTTTCTTTCTTTCTTTCTTTCTTTCTTTCTTTCTTTCTTTCTTTCTTTCTTTCTTTCTTTCTTTCTTTCTTTCTTTCTTTCTTTCTTTCTTTCTTTCTTTCTTTCTTTCTTTCCTCTGAAAGTATAAACAACCTTGTAGATTTTTTTGCTCTTCTGAACCCAAATTGTGAATTCTACAGATTATTTTTCACCTTTTAGCCACGTCGTTGTCCACAAGGTTGCTGTCCACCACCACGATCTGTTTAGGGATGGACACAAACACATTCAGCAGTCCCAGAGACATCAGACTGAGAGAGGCAGCACAAGCTCCACCTGGACTGTTCAGAGTGAACCTCAGCATATCTGACACATCTGGAGGTTCCTCTGGAGCTCCATCTGCTCTGTTTAAAGCATCCCAACTGTCTGCTGGATCATTCGAGGACTTCTCACTCTGTGTTTTGTTTCTCTCATCATCCCCTTCCTTTGTTTTCTGCACGTCTGCTGTTTGTTTCTGTGATCTGGTGATTCCACCACCATCTTCCTGTGAGTCCCTCTGCTTTGTTTTTCTTGAAGACTCTGTTTTCCTTTCCAACACCTCCTCGCTGTTCTGTGACCGGTTCTCCGTTTCATGGTAGAAACTAGTGAAGGGTTTTTCATCTTCACTCCCTTTGGCGAGCAAATTCCTCAAGAAGCAGAAGGAATCGGTGCAGAGGGATGAAGGAAAGCGCCACAAAAAACGCCTGCCAGGAAGATGTTGGAAAGACACAATCAAGAGGTTTATGATGTGACAATGTTCTTTTTCTGCTAAAACAAACCAACAGACAATAAACAAGCCCAGTCAACAGACACTCACACACAGGACCCAACCCGGGGACTGGCTCCAGTGTGAGACCACAGTAACACTTCGAGTCGAGGACTCTGGTTTTACACTCATAGCAGGCTCGTTGAATAGCACTTTGACTTATCCTTCGCCAAGGACTAATTAGTCACGAGTGACCCCACCAGCTGGTAAACGTAGCTCCTAGGATCATTAGGTTAAGGTGGTGGTTCAAGGATATTTTTGTTCCAATCCCAATTTTCATAGCACAAACATTATAGTTAATGTTTTTATTTGTTTTTACTCTCGTCTTTTTCGTAAAATACGTTCCTGTTTTTCTTTTCTTTTTTCTAAATGTATATTGTTGTCTGTCTTATCTCTTTTAACATTAACCTGTCAGAGGACGGCAGATGGAAATTATTCTAAGGCTACAATCTGGCAGATTTACAGTTGTATTACTGTTCATAAATATACAATGTCCTCTCTTTAAATAAAGAAAATAAATACAATTTAAAAAATCAAGGGAAAATAGACATAGCATAGTACAGCATCTGTTTGGATACCTGTAGTAGGACTGGGACAGCTGGAAGGACATGGGCAGGATGGGCAAGCTTCGATTCTTCTTCGGCCCAGTCAACTGACCAACCCGACGGCGGTTGACCAGCCGGTCCACCCTGGTTTGCAGGAACACTTTGCACAGCAGCTCCTGGTCGTACTGACTGTATATGTGGAAGGTCTAAAAGAAGGAATAAAATTAACACAATTCTGTGTTGTTTGACTATAACTGAATAATGATCCTTCCTACAACAGAGTGTTCATAATGATTTTATTTAAAAGTTGATTAAACAACTCAAAGTCCTAAATGAAAATGTCAAAAAAGTGAGATCTTACAAGAAAAGCATTCAGCAGAATAACTGAGAAGAGTTTTCTCTTTAAAGGTGTTGAACACACGTTTAATCAATACATTCGCAGTGGTCTCTAGTAGGAATGAATGCCGTGTGAGTCGTACTCTGGGGCGAAAATGCTCAGATGCTCTTGAAACAAGAAGTATAAGTCAGCTGGAGGAGAAAGCAGCTTCAGACAGCAGGATTTGGAGTCTTATTTTCTGATATTTGGACATCTTGCCTCAGATTAGCTAACAGCATCGCAACTCTAGCAATAACTTTGTTTTTCTACACTGATGCTTTATCTCCACAAATACCACATGCCTGGAGGATTTCTGCTGTGTGGTGGAGTTGCTAATGCTAACAGTTACACAAAAAAGTAGACTCGCTTTCTGAACAGAAAGCCCCTGACAGCCAGTTTTTGAGCATTTTTACAGTTTTTTTGAAGAGCTACAGAATATTGTGCTCTATGACCATGTAAACACCAAAACTACTAAAAGACAGAGTAGACCCACTATTTCCGTTCTTTCACAATTCAATTCAAATCTATTTAGTTTATTTATATAGCGCCAAATCCCAACTAGAGTCATCTCGAGGCAATTCACAAAGTAAACATTCCAATACAGGTCAGTTCATTAAGCCAATCAGTAAAAGGTTTCTTATATAAAGAACCCAGCAGATTGCATCGAGTCACTGACTAGTGTCAGCATCTTTACAGCAATCCTCAAGAGTAAGCAAGGATGCAGTGACAGTGGAGAGGAAAACTCCCTTTTAACAGGAAGAAACCTCCAGAGGATCCTGGCTGAGGACCACTCAAAGCTTGGAGCATTTTAAGGGAAAACTAAAAACTAATTTTTTTGACTTGGCTTTTAGAAGTAGTTGAGTTGTGTATCTATTCCCTTTTATCTGGTTTGTTGTAGTTTTATTGTTGTATCTTGTCTTATTTTAAACTAGTATCTTATTGTTTACGCTCATCTTTTTATTTTTAGTTTTTATCATATACCGTATTTTCCGGACTATAAGTCGCACATTTTTTTCATAGTCTGGCTGGTCCTGCAACTTTTCTACTGCGCTGCTGCGGGCCGGCTCCTGACAGGAATAAGCTCCTCTGCCTCACCATCACCTGCTGCAGCCTGTGGCGGGCTGCTGCGGGCCGGCTCCGGCCCAGGAATGAGCTCTCCTCGCTCGCTGAGAGGGTTTGAAACACCGCCATCCTCTGCTGGAGACCGTGGCGTGCTGCTGCGCCCTGATTGTTTATTCTGTTATTGTTACCGGTACTTGTCTTGCAATGTGAAAGGCTTGATCTCAGATTTTGTAAAGAAAAATAATAAAATTTCCCCCCAAAATGCGACTTATAGTCCAGTGCGACTTATGTTTTTTTCTTCTTCATCATACATTTTATGGCTGGTGCGACTTATACTCCGGAAAATACTGTACTTTGTTTTTAATGACATAATTTTTAATAATGTTTTACAGGAGCATGTTTGATTTCATGGCATTGTTTTGTTCAGCACTTTGGGTTGCGTGAGCAACAGTAAAAGTGCTATATAAATAAAGTTGACCTTGACCGTGGCTCAGTATAAGCAGCCATCCGCCATCACTACGGACGGACGGACAGACAGACACACACACACAACAATCTGTTGTCGAAGTGTGAGCTGCAGAAGATTTTCCGGTTAGCTCCTCACTTTTTAACAGCAGCGTCCCAAAACAATCTCTTAATTCATGGATTTTCTGCTTCCTGGTAACGTGACGTGTGACACACACGGGTCAAAATGGAATTTGGAGCCGTAATGTTTACTCTCTCGGTGCGGGAGCTCATTCCCAAGCACAACCTGTTAAAAAATGCAATCGATGACTTTAGTCGTCAATGGCAGCAAATGAGTTAAACGAAATTCCGTACCTTCATCCAGCACACCTCTAAACGCCCTGTGGAGGAATTTTTTATTTTCTAAATACTGTATAGCTTTTGTATTAATTATTCTATATTCAGCCTTAAGTGACAGTGCGACATAGATCTGTCAGGCTTTTAAAATCCTAGAATTTCACCATCTATATTCTATCAGAAGCAAATGCAGGAGGTAGGTGAAGGAGAAATGTTAATGTTCAGCCTGCATGAAAAACTCAGTGATCGATAATCATTAAAAAATGGGTTTCAGTTAACCACAGCTTTAAAGAAGGACCAAATGATTTTTAAGTTGTAGAAAATGCATTAATTTTGAAAGGGATAAAACTTCAGTTTTAGGGATTCATGGGATAATTCTAAGAGACGAGCAGCTTTGGCACCTGGAATGATCTGGAAGTCTTCATCTGTCCGTTGGTCATGGCCAGAGTGCTCTGGATCAAATTATACAAAACTGTGGCATGAATGTCTTCTTTGCTGTGGTGGGAAAATATATGTAAAAAAATCAATATTCAGAAAGTAATATACACCAAGAAAACAAAAATCTATTTAAATTCTCACCTGTTTATGGTGTCTTTGGCCTGAACAGGTGTTTCATCGTCTATAGCAGAAACCTTGAACCTGTGAAACAGAGTTTTGTTTTTACTTTGTGCTCTTTTGTTTTACTTAAAGAGAATCAAACCTTGTGTTTTACCGTGAGAAAAGCTCCTGCGTGGAGTCAGGAAAGATCACATCAAGGGCGCTCGTGACAGCGCTGAACTTCTGTCTGAGGAGCCGGATGTACTCCGAGAAGGATTTGGCACAATCCTAAAAAACAAACATTAAATCAGGAAGTCCACCATAAGAAAAACACAAATTGTTACAAAGAGCGAACAGCACACCTCTGGATTATCAGGACAAACTGGTTTGTTCTCCTCCAGATGTTTCAGCAAAGTTGTGTCCTGGTAAACTTCTGCCAAACAGATCCTGAAACACAAATTATCAGTGAGTAAAAACCTGGAGTTAAACCTAAACGCACACACCTGCTCAGATTCTTCACCCACCTGAAGTTCAGGTATGTTTGGGGATTCTTGAGGATGTATTTTGTGCGACGTCCAACAGCGAGGGACGTTTTGTCCTCTGATATCTGAAACTCAGCATGGAGCAGGTCTCTTACGATGCAGTAAGGCACGTACACCTTCTTTAACTGTGAAACACAAAGACACGCGTGGCATGAGTTCATCCAGAAAGGACAGGTTAGAGAACAGCAAAAGTGAGGCACAAAACAGCCTTACTATTTAAAGGTGCATTATGTAGAAATGAAGTAAAAATGACACCCTGTGGTAAAATCTGTTTACTGCGACCATTTGTCCGGCCATTGTCAAATTACAATTGTCGGTGCTGCAGTATAAGTTCGCAGGAGACATGGCAACCCCACGCTCACTGATGGTTAACAGCAGCTATGTCCCTCATTCCTTTGTTTTGAAAGGAGAAAAACTGACAATCCAGCAGCCAGCTGGATATGAAATATGTTTCAGTACAACCTTCTTTCCAAAATGACTGAACCATTAGACTCTTTTGGGACTTTCTCACTGTAAAACTTTCACTAAATTCTTACATTCTGCACCTTTAAACATTTTATGAGGTTATTGATGATGTAATTTATCAATTATTAGAGCCACTGATTCAGATTTTCTCCCTGGTCTAAACAACCTTGCTGTTGAGCAGGTATGAGGCCACAGCACAGAGCATTATGACAGAGTCTTCCTGTATAGTCCAGTAGACTCTACGTTTGGTCATCATCTTTAAAGCCCTGTGGTCTGCCTCGTCGTGAGCAGGAGCGCGTGGTTTGGGTTCTTTAGGACAGAAAACACATTTAGTCAGCTTTTCATTTTTAGTCTATAAGACACATGTAATAACTGTTGAGGTAAACAGCACAATCAGGACCTTTTCGTTTCTTGCGTGTGACCTTCACAACTTCCTTTCTAACTTTCGTCCTCTTCTGTCCTTTCCCTCCGATGCCCTGCTGGATTCTAGAGACTGGCTCTATGCCCACCTGGTTATCAAAATACACCAAACAACAGAGATTAAACAGTGGCTCTATTGCTTTTGTCTCTCACACTCATGTAGAAATTTGTTACAGTATTCAGAACATTTCATTGTATTCAGTTAGAGGTCCTTGCTTTGTGGTTATGAATCAAAAAATGATAAGCATGATTATTTTGGTCAATTCTGAAATCCATATGATTTAACTCGATAATTCATAAAGGTGGGAACACTTTACAGAGTTCACATTTTAAGGAGGCTGCACCAAAATAAGTGGCGGAGTTACAATTTAAGAAAATAAAAATTATGAGCCCAAAATTGATCACTCCCAGTGTGTTTTGCCATCATTCTGTCATCACTGACTTTTTCAAACCCCAAAAGATGGGTGTGATCTTAGCACTCACAACAGGTGGAAGTGTGTGTGTTTTTTTTTTGGGGGGGGGGGGGTTTAAAATTTAAGGGCAGTGGCAGCACGCCCATATGGAGGTACTAGAGTGCCGCCCCAACAGTCTCACAGGAAGGGGAAGTAGATAAGAATCACAAAATATATTAAAAGAAACATGAAAATTAACTAAACTGTTTACGTATACAAGCACAGTGTGTGTGTATATATATATATATATATACTGTAAGTGTTGTGTATAATATGCATCTAAGTGTAGTTTAAAAATGTTATTTGACACTTTTACCACAACTGAATCGTCTTGCAATGTATTTAATGTTCCTTTTGGGCGCCTGCAATCTCTACCATTGACCTACGCTAACTGGCGCATGCACAGTGGATTCCCCACCCCCACCCCCCCTTCTGGGGTGGCGTTTTTCGTTTCTCCTTTTTGAATATATTATTGGCTTTTAGGTTTGTTGTACATATTCCGTTCATTTTTGTAATACAATTGTTGTTTTTAAAGCGACACAACACTGTTTATTATTTCTCCCCTCCTCATCTCTCCTAGAGAGCCGGGGACGTATTATGAGCAAAACTCAGCAAAGGCAAAACTTAATTTACGCTTTTGATTTCATGAAATCAGCTTTGTTTTGCTGCAGAGTTCTTTGAGTTTTGCAAGTAGAGTAATGATACTTATGTTGTTGTAAAGAGGAGAGTTTGGGCTTTAATTTAAACGGCTGCTTATGTGGATGGGATCATGTTGCATTGTTGCTACTAAGTGTTTTCTCATCATGTGTATTTAGCTTTATTTCCAGCCCTTTAATTTAATGTCATTGTTGAGGTAGAAAATGTGTCACAAGAATGGTAATTTGGCACCCCCTGGTGGTGATATGTGGTTAGTGCAGCTAACAGACGACATAACTGCGCCCCACCCAAAAAAACAAGATTTCACAAGCCGCCACTGCATAAGGGAGTGTTTTCTAAATGCTGTTATTGTAATTTGGTGGGATCAAATCAGATAAAAAAAAAAGGAAGAAAAACCCATACCTCCACATTTTCTGTTGACAGAGGTCGCTTGCTGGTCAAATAACAAGATATGCTGCCATCTCCTGGTGATAAGATTGTTAAAATACAGCTAAATGTAACAGAAATTAACAAAATAAATAAGCTGTCATAAAGAAAAGTCGTTAGCTTTCAGGAGACTCACCAGCTTGAAGAGCAATCCTGAGAGCATCTCTGTTCAGGAGGCCCTTAAGTCTGTTTTGGGTTTGTGGTGTTTTTATAGTAGTTGGAGTCTGAAAATAGAAATAAAATAAATGAAAATAAAATGTAGTGAGTGGGTAGTTTATGCATTTATGAAGCAGCATGTTGAACTGGTATTTGCTGTGATTAAATACCCTTTTATTCAGAAGTAGGTGGCTGGTCCAGAGCCAGTTGCGTTTAAGATGACCGAAGAATTCACTGTCGAGGCCTGCTGCTCCTTTACCATCTCCTGGTATCGACCCGTCATCACACACTTCAATGCTGCCTCTGTGTGTGTGTGTGTGTGTGTGTGTGTGTGTGTGTGTGTGTGCGTGTGTGTGCGTGCGCAAGTAAAGGTTTATTAGTCTGTGAGTTTATACAAATAATAAATTATATCTAAAGAGCAATTATATTTCTAACTATAGTAACAATATTCAATAAATAACAATTTAAGTTTACAGTTTTTTCATGACAAAACTTAACCTTAAAGGGACTATAAGGAAGTTTGACAGTCTAAACATGTTTAGAAATAATAAATTTCTTCTTCATACATTCTCCTGCAATGCCCTGGTCCTGTAGAATGAGCCCTGGCATTTTTACTGTGATTGCCTGTTTTTCTGTAAAATCACAGAAAAAGAGAGATGCTCGAGTCGAGCAGGCTGCTTCATGCGCGTTCACGCTCAGGCATAGCCCGTAGCGTTTGCTATCCGTAGCTTTAGCAGCAGAGAGAGATGTAGTGCCGACTCAGCGACTTTGTCGCTGTTCCTAACGCCTAGTGATGAACCTAGCTACATTTCTGAGGACCCTTAGCTACTTTCTGTAGAACATTCTTCTAGATATTTCCTGCAAATTAACAACAAAATAGCCATTTTCGCTCCGAACCGTTCTTTGGATTGAGGTTGTTTCAGCTGTCATCAAGGATATAAACGTTACTGATACATTGAATGTCACTGGTGCTAAGATGTCTGACTCTCATGCAGAAGACCTGGGTTCAATTCCAGGTGTGAACATAATCTGTTATTTAGAGTTACTTTTTTACATTAATGATATATTTTTTACAGTAATAAGATGCCCAAATTTTTATGAGACTCGCCGAACGGCATTGAATTCACAGATAAAAAAGATGTGGGTTCAACTTTCATTTTGGAAAAATTTTTCAAGCAAGGGAATGATCTGAGCATGCAGGAGGACTGACCCATCTTAAACCTTTGTCGGCTGTGCTGAAGAGAAAGGTACAGAACCTAATTAATTAATTAATTAGCTGTGTGTTCTCCTGTCCTCTGTCCTCCGGGCCACACACACACACACACACACACACACACACACACACACACACACACACACACACACACACACACACACACACACACACACACACACACACACACACAGGACTGTCTCAGCTGTTATTTTTGTTAAGGAGTGTGCACGTACAGCATGCACACCTCATGCACGAGCTTACTTTTGAAGCTGCAGTTACGCTTTAGGCCTGAGTGGCGATCGCGAGCATAAAAACTTCAAACTTCCTTACAGTCCCTTTAAGTAAATTAAATGTTTTACACATTCAAACCAGTTATTCACTTAAGGGCCTTTATGATATGATTCTAGCTGTTGAAGTAATAAAGGATTCTTCTCCCACTGACTTTAGCATGTGTGCCAGTCCAGCAAACACATAGCGATCGTACACCATCGATTGTACAGGGTCGCCTTCTTGCGTAAATCTTTTACTTCGGATCACCCCTTTAAAACAACCATAGAGAGACAAATATTATTTTCTGTTTGATCCAAGACGCAACGTTTCCAAATGCTTTCATGCCTGTGTGTCTGAGTACCCAGTGGTGTGTTGAGGCAGACACACATCAGGTCGAACCAGTAGCTCTCCACGTCGTCGGCAGTGTTGAGTGTGTAGCTACGCCTCTCGAAAGGTTTGTCGGGTGGTTCTGAGACCTGCCAGTAGTGAGGCTCGGTGCTGGTGGTGTCCACAATGGTGGCGTTCCGTTTCAGATACACAAACATCTGCAGGAGTTTAATGGGAATCACATGTGATTATGATGATGGAGCTGGAGGAGGAGGAGGAGGAGGACTACCGTAAAACACCCAATTGTTAAAAGCAGATATGGAAATTTATTTATTTACTATCAATTTAGATGACTTGTCTTTGCTTGCCATCTAGAACCTTCTGGTGCTGATCCATAACTGGAAACAGCCATTAAATATATGTATAGATAATATTTTTGCTTTAAAAATGGAGTGCTGAATGTCAGTCTTACAAAATACACTTTTAATTTACTGAAAATACAAAAATATAAATATTTTGTTTAACCTTGGATGTAAATTCAAACAGTCATGTTTTACAGCTAAACATGATTTTTATCCTCTTCAATTACGATTCAAATCAAATAGTAGCATGAAGTTGGCTTTTAACATCTCTGAGTAACAAATAATCCATTATTAGTGAACAAACATGCTCAAATCGATGCATTTTTTAAAATTTATTCTTATGTTTCACAAATCTCGATACCTGGTCTTTGTCCTTGAACCGCTCAGTCGGGGCAAACTGCAGCAAACCCATGTAGACCAACCTCTGCAGGTTCTCATTGAACATTAGGATGTACTTCCTAAAGAGAAGTCATCGATTCTTAGGTTCAAATTATTTTCAACTTTCATTCAAATATAAACAAGAGCAGAAGAGAAAAGGGTCTGTCACCGTCTATAGAGAAGCTCTCTTTGCATTTTTGGAGGCAGAGAACTAACAAGGTAGTGTTGCTTCATGGGGTCGTTGACAAGCTCCTCCAGTCCATCCACCTGTGGACACAAACCAGCCCCGCTATACTTAGTCTGCTCAAAACACAACTCAGAGACACAATTTGTTACTGGATCTAAGGAAAGTACTAAAGAGAAAGCAGGGGACATCATCTAATTATTTACCTACAGCTGTTGGATTCCCAGACAGACTATTTACTGTTAAATCCTCTCTAAACAAGTTCCGTGTAGAGGTAGACCGATATATTGGTCGGCCGACATACCGAGCCGATACTTAACTTTTTTTATACGTATATCGGTATCGGCCGACAGGGTTGGGCATCGAGAATCGAGCATCGATTAGAACCGGTTCCAACTGTTCATTTTTCCCGGAATCGCTCTATGTTTTTTATTTCGATTCCTAGAATGCCGACGGAAGAGGAATCCGCAGTCGATCTCCGTGAAAAATAAACGTGATCTGCAAATTGTGATCAACGCTTTTCAGAGCTGACCACACCAGCTGTCTGTGTGCAGCACCGAGTCCCCCCTCCCCCCACCCACCCTGCACGCAGCGGCCAAATCTAAACAACCGCGTCTGCCGAACTTTTACTCCGTAATGTAAACTTTAACTCCTGCAGCGTAGAGGAAACGTGTTAAACTATGTCAACACGGTGGATTTAATAGAAGCTTTAAAGAACAAACTCTGGACGGTATGAGGTGAGTTTGTCTCACTGCAGAAATAAAAACACACACGGGGCGTCAGCAGTCAGACGCGTGAGCGTCAGAAGGCTGAACAATAACCTGTAGAATAATTAAAGTCATCATGCTAGAGCAGCTTCTCTGTGGTGGACCACACCAGCTTCTGCCACAATAAATAATAATAATAATAACAACAACAATAATGATAATAATAATAATAATAATAAATCACACAAAGTTGTGAACATTTTAATTTCCTTTCTGAACTATTTCTGTTGAGTTTTATGTTTAAATCTGTTAGATTGTTTCTGACAGCAGCTACATTTAAGTTCCACTTCCTGTTCTGACTAAATGCTGCAGCAGCATGGAGGTGTAGTTCTCAGTCATCCTGGACATGATCATCCTGAGAGTTTTAGCTGGAAACAGCTGGACGTTTCTGGATATGTTGGAGACATTTAGCCTCTCATCCCAGAGGCTTCTTCCAGACTTTGGTTGTGGTCAGAAACAAACACACTGGTTGTGCTGCAAGTCTTTTTCTTTTTTCTCCAAAACATGTTTTTGTCTAAATGAAGGTGATGTTGTTGTTCATAGAATTAAAATTCATGTTGAAGTTAAGATTATTTCATCAAGTAGGACCTGTGGTTAGCTGGCTCATGGAAAACAGGTCATGCATCGAAAGAATCGGAATCGATAGGAACCGGAATCGAAAAGAGGAATTGGAATCGGAATCGTTCAAAATCAAACGATGCCCAACCCTACCGACATAACTCCTTAGTTAAGCCAATTTAAAGAAAAGCAGCCCAGTGCTGCTGCAGAATTTAATTTAAATGTATATGTACGTTCTTGAAAAACATCTGCAAAATAAATGCTCTAAAATTATTGAATTAATTTTTTTTAATAAACCGGCTTTGAATATTTAATACCTGGTCAGTTAAGGGAATTTGTTTGATTAACTTTAGTTAGATGACTGATTTTAACACTGAGCAGTGCATAATATTAAGGTTTCACAGTCGGTCAAATTCAGTGTTCAGCTTTGAAATTCCATTTTTATTTGATAGGGCCTATGGTTATAATCTGATGTTAGCCTAAATCTGGACAAGTGGGGGAGTAGAGGGAGGTGGAGTGTACAGTCGGTAAAGACGGCTCTCCCTTGCCCTGCCTCCAACATGCCTCCATCTAAATAGGATAGATTATCCAGAGTTATCTCTGTAGTTATGCTGCTATAGGCTTAGACTGCTGGAGGATACACTGACCACTTTCCACACTCCACTGCTTTCTTCTACAATCTGCTCTTTAACTGTATTATTTTCTGCAATTTCAGCTGTTAACTTTATTTTCTCTCTGTTTTTCTCCCCAGAAGAAGCTACAGTGATGTTCTGTTGAGCTGTGGTGGCCTCATGGAGGGGGCCATCGTCTAGCACACTGCTGCTAACCACTAAAACATTATCTCTCTCCTGATAATAACTTTTTGCTTTCCTTGACGTTGGATGTGCTACTACTAGTTTATCCGTTTAATTATAGATCCACTAGGATAAATACAATAAAGTTTATCTCTCGCCAAATATTTACTAAGAAATCACAATATAACTATAGACACATTACTGTGTGTGTGTGTGTGTGTGTGTGTGTGTGTGTGTGTGTGTGTGTGTGTGTGTGTGTGTGTGTGTGTGTGTGCGTGCGTGCACGCTCGTGCGTGTGTGTGTGCTCTGTCTTCTTGATCCCCAGTGAGTCATGGTGGATGGCTGCTTATACTGAGCCAGGATTCTCTGGAGGTTTCTTCCTGTTAAAAGGGAGTTTTCCTCTCCACTGTCGCTTTATGCTTGCTTAGTATGAGGATTGCTGTATAGTCACTGACACTAGTCAGTGACTTGATGCAATTTGCTGGGTTCCTTATATAGGAAACATTATTTCTGATTGGCTTAATGAACTGACCTGAATTGGAATGTTTATTATGTGAAGTGCCTTGAGACGACTCTTGCCGTGATTTGGTGCTATATCAATAAAATTGAATTGAATTGAAAATGTTGTGCATCAGCTGATGTTTTTAGTGACATTTTAGCATGAAAATAAGGTGGAAACATCTAGACATCAGCCATGAAAACCGACCCAAAAAAATCAGCAGTACATATTAGCCATCAGCTGACCATGACCTCTACATATCAGCACTGACCTCTAGTTCAGTGCAATGACTTAGTCGGCTACAATCTTACCTTGTAGTTAATCTGTGTGAACTGCAGGAAAATGGACAGAGGCATGCAGAGGAGAACGTCGCCAACCGAGGCCCAGCCAGAGGAAAAATCCTCGTGTTGCCGAACAGGAGGAACAAATCTTCTCCAAGAGTCCTCGTCAACAAACACTGGAGGAATAAGTCACTGTGCATAAATCACTGACAGCTGTCAAAAAAAAAAAAGAGTAGAACATAAAAAAAAGTTTGACTCTCTCACCTTTGTTGTTCAGAGGGAAATCGAGGTTGGATTCATGATCCAGCAGCTTCTCTTTATCCCAAAAAGACACATCAGAGGATTCTGTTTCCTTTAGATCCTGTTGTGCTTGGCCGTCTGGGAGGTTGGTATCAGAGCTGGAGCCGTTTGGGTCCAGCGATGTTGTGTTGGCTGATTTACACTCAGTGGAGCTGCTTTTCTGCGGATGTCCATAGATGAGGTACCAGAGAAAGGTATGAATGGCTCGCAGGCGTTGCATCTTAGGTTGGAAGCCTAAACGCTTCCCCAGTCCAGGAACTATGGATAGAAAAAGGTCATTCAAATTTTTTTTATTTTAAATGCAAACCATAAACCTCATCAACTTTAGTTTTAGGCTTGTTGATTGTGTATACATGACTTTGTTGTCTGGATTAAAAAGACTTCTACAAGTAGAGAAAAGGCAGTTTAAAAAAAAAGATTTATTTTTTATTCTGTTGAATTTATGGAAAATTAGTCAAAATTCTGTAAAAGCCAAAATAGTTGTTGAAATTAATCAAAACAATTTTGACATCTTTGCTGCACTGACGACTGAAGCATTACAAACATTCTACTGAAAGCTCTTAGTTTTGTTCATAATCACAGACACAGTCAGTTAATAAAGCTTTTTGGGCTCCTTTTACAAGCAGAAAAAATACTTTGTGCTCGATAATTCAGTGAAAACAAACCTGTTGTGGGTTTAAACTTTGCGTTCTCCTCCTTGTTTACAGTCTTTTTGCTAGCTTTGACCTTTGGGGCCTTGGAAGCTAAGAGAGTTCCTAATGTTTTATGTTGTTTGGCTTTGCCTTCAGCCTGCTGCAAACTGACAAACACGAAAGAGAAACCAAATAAGAACAGAGAGACTAAATGCAACTTTCAAGAAATGTTCACACACTAAATCATATAAGATCGGAGTAACGTCGGCTTAAGTGGCCAACAGAAAAGCTCGGGCTACTTCCATTGACGTTCTTTCTTAGATTAGTGAATGACGTAGATGTATCCTTACACAACAAAAGAACAAAAGTTATTTAAACCACACAAACATTTAGGTTTATTTTGCTTACCGTAGCGCAGAGGAAGAGCTGGAGATTTTGAACCGAATCTGCTCAATAATTTGTTTAACACTCTCATCCTCGGGCTGGACGGACGGATGAACGATCAAGTCGATCTGCAAGTGGAACAAGATAAACAAATATGTGCTAATAAACCTACAAGGTTTAAACGTAGTCTGACATGTTTAATATAGCAACTCTAAATTAAACACACAGCCGAACCAATTTGGCTCACTGTGGCAACAAACCAATCATTTTTTTCTGTTGTTTGACCTTAATCAATGCATAATAAACATTTATTAATGATTTATAAAGTGTTACAGATGAATTAATAAAATATCTACAAAGTATTTATAAGGGGAGCCTTGTTGTAAAATGGCAATACATTTCAAATTTCACATGTCTAAATAACTGAGGTGATTTGTGAATAAAATTGTCTTAGAAAACAGGAATTCTTGTACCAAACTTGCACCAGATAAAGGTTAAAAATACTAAATAACATCTAATTAACACGGTCTGGGACTAAATGGAAACAGTTGATTGGCTGTGGCGACCCCTGAAGGTAAAAGCTGAAAGAGAAGGAGATGAATTATTAAAGTCCCATAGTCATCATCACACACTGGTGAAATTCATCTCTGCATTTGAGCCATCCCCACGGAGGGGAGTGGTGAGCTGCAGCAGAGGCTGTACTCGGGAACTATTTGGTGGTCCCGGGGTGGACGGTCTACCACTAGGCCACTGAGCTGGTGGAAGAATTACTCACTGGAAACCACGTAAGTCTAAAAACGCCTCCTGTTTCGGTTTTGACATGTGTGAAGTAGTACCTTCCTGGTGATCTTATCCTGTATGACGGTGGTCGTGTACATCTTAACCAAGCCTTCTCTAGAGAGACTGTTGACAAGTCGGAGAATAGTCTTCTTGCAGCACTTTGAATTTAAACCATCCTTCTGTTCTTCTTCAATGATCTTTTTCTGAAGTCTTTAAAGAAAGAAACCGACATTTCACAATTAGTCCTTTCTTAACCCGCATCGGCTGATGACGTTTTAGATAAACTGACTCGTATAAGCCTGTGATGATTCTCGAGCTTCGAACGGCCTCAACAATCAGGTTCTTCCTCTTCAGCACGCGGTACGTCTCGTGAGCATTCTGATGGAAGCAGAGGGAAAAAAACACTTGGTGAAACTAGAGGAAACGCTAACAACTCCAAGTTCTTCACCAGACTCACCTTTGCCTTGAACACGCCATCAACATTAAGGATCTTGTTTGCTGCATCATCAGCTTCAGTCTGAGACATCGAGTTGGCAGAGGTGGATTGTTGCTCCTCATCTGCAGCTTTTTCTGATGAAACACATACCGACTAATATACTAACAAAACAAATCATACATGCCGTCTATAAAAAAAAGTTTCAATAATGAACAAAACTATGTTTCACAAATTCATGTTTTCACTGAAAAAAATCTTTTTGAAATATTATTTCTGATTATAATAAGTCACTAAATTTTTCATGCACGCTGAACGTGAAAATAGTCTCCTACACCTATGTCCTGCATTAGCTTCTGGTAGAAAATAGATGGTGAAACTCTAGGATTTGAAAAAGCCTGACAGATCTACATCACACTATCACTCAGCATTCATGGCCTCACCCATCTCGACTCCCAACGGAGAAGGCTGCTGTTGTTTTAACATCCTGGAGTCAGCAGACAATGTTCCGACTTGTAAAAGCTAACTGTTAGCGTTAGCAACTCTACCACACAGAAAAACTCCTCCAGCCTTGTGTTTTTGCAGAGATAAAACATCAGCGTTGCAAGTAGGGATGCACTGATACCAGTACCGGTATCGGTAAAAGTTAACAGAAAACAGTAACTGATACCAATGCAGTTGCTTGAAAGTGACTTCACTGTAACTTGTCATTTCTGTTCACCTAATATTTTAGTTTTGTGATCACTTATATTACTTTTTATCTACCTCACAGTCTTTTCCTATTGAAAACAGAAGAAAACATAACCTGAACTCCAATTTATTGCATTATTTTTTTGTGTGGTAGAAGTATCGGTATCGGCGAGTACTCAGATCCAAGTATCGGTATCGTATCGGTTTGGGAAAAAGTGGTATTGTTGCATCCCTAGTTGCAAGCAAGTCAATGGTAAGAGTCGCATTGCTGTTATCCAATCTGGGGTGGCATGTCCAAACATCAGGAAATAAGACTCAAAATCCTGCTATCTGCTGCCACTGCCCTGATCAATGCCCTGAGTACGGCTTGCAAGGCATTCCTACCAGAGATGACTGTAAAAATTCTGATTAAACGAGTTTCCCACTTCTTTAAACTATTAGAAAATAGCGTGTTTGCAGAAATCTCGGGCAACAAAAAATGTTATTTTTGACTAATAAAATATTTTTAAAGTGCATTTAAAAGAAAGATTTTGATGCAAAAGGATTTTTAAAGGTAAAAAAAAAAGACTAAATGAGCTCAAAATATCTGTAGATAATCCAAAAAACACAATACATTTAGGAAATTTATCTTAGAAGTATTTTGACTACTGTATTTATAACAACCCACAAGACCAGTCTCCTGTTTAGGGTATAAGCTGGTGCTTATTTAGCAAACAAGCTAACCCAACTTACTGCAGCAAGAAGATTAAGGTAAATAGCAACCACTAAGAAGGGAGATTATTGATTTATTTTACCCATTAAATGAACAGAAACCTAAACAAATGAGTGTCTGATGTTTAATATTGTATAGTAGGCAAAAGTTTATAATTTGGTTAAAATATTTTAGATTTGTTAAACTGCTCAGACTTCTTTTTGTGATTTACCTGCTGGAGGAACGGACACAGAGTCAGGCGTCATGCTGGTTGTGGATCCAGTCCAGGCTGAAAAAGGACAGAAATATAAGTAAAGGAACGACAGGAAGCTGAAACCAGCTGTTACACAGACGGTCCTCGCCTTCTGCTTGTGTAGTTCCCATAATGGAAACGTCCAGCTGTGTCTCTTCTGCTGCAGCGCCGTCTTCGTCCTCTGTCTTTCCTCTTTCTCCATCACATATCCCATCCCCAACATCTTCTCTGCTGTCATCACACACCTGCTGCTTCTTCACCAGGGCTTTCTTTACCCTCCTGGCTGAAGGTTTTGCTTTTGACGTTCCTGGTGTTTTAGGGGAGGCGGGGTCAGTTTCTAATGCTGGAAGTTCGGCGGAGAACAGCTGATTTTTCCGCGCCTGCTCCTTAGCGAACTTCTGTATTTTATCACTGACACCCGCAAACCTGCAGAGAGATGCGAAGAAGAAAATAGTTTTATTTTTTGTAAGATCTGAAGCAATGAGGTATTCAAGATAGAATTTAAAAGCATTTAATCATTTGTAGATACAAACTTGTGGCTGATAAACTTTCTCATCCTCTGCCGACCCACATCTTCCATAAACGGCTGCGGGATCAAAGACGTCACAAATAAAATGAAAACCAGAAGTGCCACTTGACCGCTAACTTCAAATGTTACTTGCTGTAAACATCTTAAATTTTGTATTGGGGGGGGGGGGGGGGGGTCAGTGATCTTACCTTAACCATTCCATCCTTCACCAGCTTTCGCCAGGTTATACGAGACTCCAGAAGACTAATGTTCAGCCGTGAGGAAAGGTCTCTCTGTGAAACTCCCTTCGTCCCCGAGGACAAAACTAAAAAAAACGAAACAAAGTCAGGAAATAGCTGTATGACTGGGTCTGAATCAGTCCAAAGTGTTTCTCGGTATTTAGTTTGTTAACAGAGGGAATAAAGACATGAAACCCACTGAAGTCATAGGCCTGATACAGGACGTCCCTCTCCATGATACGGCCCACTGTAGGGACACCTCCTCCTTTTCTTGCTCCACTGTAGTCCTCTTCATCTTCATCATCCTCGTCCTCTTCTTCCTCTGGAACACTCTTCTTTGTGTACGGCTTCAACAGTTTGACGCAGCGCACGAGCACTTTACTGCCTGGAACATGAGTAAAAAAAGTCCCATGAAGTTAATACGGGGGGGGATCTACATTATTATTTCATTTGCTATGAAAATCTTTTTTAGCTTCTTTAAAGCTACAATCTGGCGTTTCCCCCTGCAGGAATTCTGTAAGATTTTTTAGAAATCGATAAAAGAGATAGTTTTATACTCTGCTGTGATAGAATGTAGGCAATACTTCTTTTTTTTTGTGCTAAGCTCCTCCCCCGTCCCGTAGAGCCCCATGCAATTCGAATCCAGCGCTGCTCAGTGTTAGCCAACAGTGCTAGACATCTGCTTATGTACAGTTATCAATCACAGAGTGTGCGAGCATTTGAGACTGATGCAGAGTTGGCGACTTGTTGTGAACAACAAAGTCTTTAAAAATAACATAAATGAATAAACAGCATAATAATTGTAAAACAATGTGTTTTAGCACGGTTGCTTTTGGCTGTAAATACAGATGTGGGGAGAACGACTCCAGGTGCTTTCCATTTATCAGCCTCTACTCTAAATGTTCTATTATATAAAAACTCTGGATTGTAGCTACTGGTGTCCATGAGAAACCTCAGGAGATTCTGCTGATGACAGAATCATAATTTACAGGAAACAATATTTCACTGCATAGTTAAAACTTTAAATCTTTGTCAGTCACGGCAGAATGACACCCGTAACGTTACGTCACACTGAGACTTCATTCTGCACCTTCCTGCAAAATCTCTCCCATGATCTCCTGGAGATCTTTTCTTTGTTTGTTTTGGAAGAGTCTTGATTTTAGAAAATGACAGAGAATTATTTAAGTAGTATAAATGTATTAAGTTGTTACTTTCATTATTAGGGTAAATTTTATATGTACCATTTAAGACTAGCTATTCACTTGAATGCATTAAAGCAAATAAACCACAAGAACTGACATGGATACACGCTTTACAGTTGCTTGTACCTCTAATTCCAAAACTACCATTAAAATTGTGCCTCGGTTACCGTTTTTATTTTTGCAGGGTCCAGCACTGGGGCACAAGTCCTCCAAAGGATAGTGGCAAAACTGGACGAACTTGCCAGCTCTCATGTAATTAAATAAACGCTTTAAATTCGGCTCAGTCACGTTCTGAAAGAAACACACAAAAGCAGCTAATAGACACCAGGGGGACAAATCAGACAATCAAAACACACAAAGAAGAACACTCACAAGATGTTCTTTGAGCATGTCTACAGTGGAGAATTGAGAGGGCAGCTCCTGGAGGAAGGTGGACATGCTCTCCATCAGGAGATCATATTTGCTCCGTCTAATGATCAAACGAAAACACGAGAAAAGAAATGAGCAGATTTAGTTTTGGTTATTTTGTTAACATGTTAGATCTTATGCAAAATGAAAAGTTTGTGTGTGATCATTTAGCACGGACTTTATGTTACAGGATATACCGGCACACCAGATTTTAGCTCAACATCAGTAAAACCAACTGAGTAAAAGCCTTTTTTTGTCTTTGCTAAAGTCAATTGGCTGTGGTAGCTTTTTTAAAATCTGGATTACCCCTAAAACTTTGTAGATGCTCATCTAATTATCCCATTTCAAGAGATTTTTAAAATAATGATCATAGTCCATGAGATATTTTGCTAATATTGCAGACAAAGGCGCACACAAGTAAAAACATTACTACCTTCCTTTCAGTTGTCATTAACATTTTCATAAGTGAAAAGAGCCAGAATAAGCAGATTTAATCTTGATTATTACTAAAAGATCTACACACAAAAGTAGCTAAACACCATAAAAAATCTGTTCTGGTTCACAAAACACCAACTGCATGTTTATATATAACAACAAGTATGATAATAGTGTCAATATTGAGAATAATCAACCGACCTGCTAATGTGGAAGCGTTTGAGCAGGAGGAGAACGGAGTGCTGCCGCTGACCACTATGTAGCCGTCTGACATACGACTGCATGGTGATCAGATCATGTATCACGAGAGACTTCCTCAGGTAGTGTAATTTTCGGGCATCAGCCCTGCTCAGAAAACAACAACAAAAACAATGCAGTTAAATTTATAATGACCTCTTCACAAAACTCTTAACCTGAAACAGCAGCATAACAGTGCAGTCAGTGAGCACGCCTCCTACTTGAAAAGGCCTCCATGCAGGTCTCTTTGTAGCTCTCCCTGCCAACGTGCTCGTCCCACCCTTTCCAACACGCAGTAAGAGTCGCTGGAGAGTTTTAAATCAGGATCGCTCTCGGGGCCAATCAGGGTCCGAAACCGCAGAGCCTGCGAGGCCACAACTACAAGCTTTCGTCCATACCTAAGAGGGAGCAGGTAAGATATGAAACATCATCATAAGCTGGCGAACTGTTTAAGAAATTTTTCCTCCATTAAAATATCTTTACAAACATTTTCAGTGCTTCCTCCAAATTGATGACGGGGGTGAGGGACTGGGATCGAAGTTTCTTTGTGATGTCTTTCCTCTGTTTAAAAAAGGCACATGAACCTTGAATCCCATCCTTGTTCTCAGGAATGACGTGAATTGGATAAACGTCTCTGTGTTGACTAGAAAGCGTCTCTTTTTCAACGCCCGTGTCTGGATCGAGGCCCTTGAACCTTTAAACACAAAACCATCAAGAGTAAGATACACCAATGAATGTATTGTAGTAAACATGAAATGTGAACTTATGGTTAACAGAAATGTTCAATTTTGTTCAGAAATGATAAATTTTACAATATTCAAATGCAACTTTGCTGATCAAAGTGTTTTTTTTTTACATATAAATGAAGCTATGAAAAGCATAAGACAGTAAATAAAAACAAAGACCACGTGGAAAGAAAATACTACTAGTTACTTGTTCATTTTAGAGTGGGTACGACTTTGTGGTGCTACTTTATCTGACTAAATGGGATTGGGGCAAAAAATAAAAGAGTAAACTGAAGACACAGAGTAACAAATCACATCTAACCATCCTGATTGTTATTAATTAAAAATCTGGGTCAATGCTTTTCATCTGGTGAAGAGTAAGTGGAAAGAAAGTGAGACTGGGTGTTCTGTGAATTAAATGTCACACACTTTATGATTTACAGAGTAGCATACCTGTCAAACAGCTCGATATTCTCTCTCTCTTGCGGGAGCTCGTAGAACCTAAAGTCGACATTGCTGACAAGATAACTCCAGATGAACCCCTTGGTACAGTCGTCGAGCTTGAGGGGAAACTTTGGCCGTCTATCCTCTAATCGTATCCAAAGAGATGGAATGGTTATCCCATCCAACCCCTCCAAAGCCACCTCGTCTGCAACGATGCTTGGTGGTTCCATGGCTGAGCTAACGCTGCTAGCTAGCTAACGTGCTACCAGCGTGACAACGTGTAATTTCTAACGAAGACCCATCTGCTGTTAAACTATTGAGAAGTAAAGTTTCAAGTTAAGAAGTAAAGATATAACAATGTTTGCAAAATGACTGGCTACAAAGCATCTCTACTTCTACAACCACTCCACAGCCACACCAGTTTGTGTACTTCTGTTGACGTGCCCATACGTAATCATGCGTGATTGTTGATTTTGACTTTACGTCGTGCGTCATTTCTAAACAAAATCCTTTCCGCAAGAGGGCGCTCAAGCACATTTCCTCAGAAGTGAAAACGCTACTCGGCAGCAAACAAACTTTGAGCTGTTTTTAAATTTAGATCCTATCTGAATTTTTCCAAACACAAAGGTCGTCTCATATTGTGATTAATGCCATTCTAAGTAAAATCTAATTTATTTTATATAATTAAAAATTATTAGGTTTAGCTAAATACGACTTAACTACTTTTATAATAAAAATATAAAAAAATGTGATTACACATTAGCTGGTTATTTCCTTTTCATGGATGAAAATTGACAAAAAAATAAAGTCCTCATGCAGATCTTAATTTTCAAATGAAGACAATTTCTAATGTGTTGGGATATGCACTAAAAGCCAGAATTGTGTTTGGATTCTAGCATTAGATATTTATTTAAAAAGAGAATTCACCTACAGATTTAGATAAGTTGTTAAACATACTGATAACAGTGTAAAATGACAAGCAGATAAAAATCCCCTTAGGGGTGGAATACCTTTCTCCTGTATAAAGGGAAAAAAAAACATTTTTACCCAAAAGGTTTGCCTTCAGATCTGCTATGAAAGAAAATGACACAATCATGAAATTAATTTCCCCAAATAGAATTTCCTCTTTCACACGAATTTTTCTCAATGGGCAAGATTTTCATCCATGAGAAATCCAGCTGTTGCATCAATTTTCTATTAAAAATAACGGGGGTAATAATTAACTGAATACAAAAACTATTATTTTTTTAACTACTGCTTTTAGAGTAAATGATTCAGAAAAACAAGGGGAAAAAATTGCACATTTACTCAGCAAGTGTTATTGTTCCTTCAAAATATTGAGTCTTTGAATTAAAAAGCCCACAAAAGGTTTATTCAACATCTTTATTATGAAGTACCTTTTTTAAAAGAAATGTACGAGTGGAACCAGCACAGTGACATCTTGGCACTGAAAAAACAAACACCATGGACATGTGCAGGTCTGAAGACAAGTATGAAATGATAATGTACATATTTACAGCACAGGGTTGATCTGAACAGAAGCAAGAGAAAAGGCATGACTGCAGCTTTTAAAAAACATCAGGAGTGACTGAGAACTACACTTACAATAAAAACAGATTGGTTCAATAAAACATTGTGATAAACATGATAAAAGGCACTGTGTTTCACACAAATCAGCAACACGACAAATAAGAGATGTTCTCTTTAAATCAGAAGAAACTATTTTTGACAAATGTGAGCCGTTTCTAAAATAGACAGGTGGACAAAAAGGGCCATTTGCACAGAAATGATAAACAAAGATAACTCAACTCATCCAGAAAACATTCCTTACAAAGAACATGCTCCGTGATTATTAAGGTTGTTTTTTTAATAAACAAATACATATATAAACTTTATATTTATATCGAAGGCATAAAGGGCTTTAAGGACAAACTTGTTTTTTCTGATTTGAAGCTTCCCTTGCGAAGACAAACCCAGCACAAATTGTTTTTGACATTCCTGCAGAACCTCTGTTCGCCGATCACATTCAGTTAACAACCAGCATGGATTACACAAGAGCTGGAGAGCGATTCAGAGGACAGACATGATACGTTCACTTAGGTCTTTCTTTTTAGGATAAGGGCAACAAAATCTAAATAAAAATACATTCAGCTTCCACAGCTGGCGCGTGTCAGTGCAGCAGCTGCACGGAGCTTCGTGTTAATCTGGAACCCAGGCAATCCTGCAGCAAGGCACAGACACGGTTACTAAATGTGCTTTTTGTTTCCTCGACAAAAGGTCAGACGTCATTTCACATCACTCACGTCTGTGCAATAAATATGAAGCCACAACTTACAGAAAATTATGATTAAAATAATAAATAGCTTGTCTGTTTCTGTCTACATTCAACAAATCCACCTAGAATTACCTCTTTGTTTAGTAGTGCGTGTGGAACCAGAGGTGGTCACGTGTATTTTTATGCCACTTTTTCATTTGCCATTTGTTTTGAAAGGCAAAATAAGTTTCAGTAAACATTCTATAGACTAATACTTCACCAATCATCAGCTGTGAAAACTAAATCATCACTATACAAGTGAAATTAAATAACCAATTACAGCAAATCCTGCATATTTGAGCCATTTAAGCGTCAGATTATGACAATAATCTCTTTCCAGGACCCGTCTCTTTCCAGACAAGTCCTGTAAACAGACAGCTGCGGCTTTGGGCTTCATAAGTACTTTTTCAGATATGAGAGTTTGATCCACTTAGTTTAAAAGATTTTTCCAAACCAATCATTCGAGATACAGGGCAGATTTCAAACATGAGGTCCCACGTCTCTGTGACTGCAACAGGAACACTCCCTTCAGGTGGATGTGAAGAACAAAAACAAAATGCATGTAGAAAAACAGGAAGTTTGTTCTTTGGCTGAGTTTCGGCTTACATGTTGGATACGGGATAACACGCTAATAAAAATGCTATTTAGAGTAATGCCGATGCCACTGGGGGGAGGAGCTTGGAGGTGAGAACAAAGGTGCCTAAAGCAGAAAAATTAGTTTAAGTATTTATGGTTTCCAAGACCTGACTGACAAACTAGTTTTCTCGATCAGTCCTCTTTGTAGCCCGAGATTTTGACAAAACAGACATAATAAACCATTTATTAGAAGAAAAAATAATAATTTAGTATACCCAGATCATGTGCAGGTCTGCAGGGTCCAGACTAGGTTGAGCATGTAGATGCAAAAATGTTTACATGAAACCTCAAAAAAAATTTATGGAGTTTGAGATTTATTTTTTTTAATCTCTAAAACGGATGGTTCAAGAAAAGAAAAATCCACACTGACAGGTAGACCTTTCAGAAACGATGCGCAGCTGCATGGAGACACAAAAATCGCTGCTCAGACGCGACTAAAGAGCTATTTTCAAAACATACAAAGTAATACAATATTAAACTGAGATATGACGAAGTGAAGCTGCAGTGGTAAGCGGTAGTACCTGCCCTGTATGCATACAAATCAAATAAAAATGTACACAAGTCGCTAGAATACTTGTCTTATCAAAAATACGTAGCTTTGGTAAACAAGTTATGTAAAGAAGTGTTGTCTGAATGTGTTACTGTGAGGGACCGTCATGTGACAGCTGAGAACAAAAGGGTGTGTAAAGGTTCTCAGTTTTGAGACTATGGAATCGACAAAATGAGGAGCAGGCCAAGTCTCACAGCTGATCTTCTTGCTCCCCCTCGTCAGCTGATCAGGAACGGAGACGATAAACAGCAGCTGGACTCCAGAACGGAACAGAACTGCTTTTCTTCACTGCCCCGAGCACCGATTGAAGAATTTCTGTGGTAATGTAGCAGCATTGTAATGGTCTGCGGAGGACAGACTCCTCCAGAGCAGAAGTGGAAGACTACTTTATCTCTTTTCTTTCAGCAGCCCCCCCACACTCCCTCTCTTCTCTGAAGATCCACCATGAAGACCCCATGTTCTCCTCCTCCCCTCCTGCATCATCTGGCCAGGCTTCTTCTTCTGAAGTTACGGTTTTAATCCAGGCGTTGACGCAGACATCCACTTTACTACAAAAGGCCTGCTTAGCACAGCCTCCTTCCGTCGCACATTGCTCCGCCCATCGTATTACATCCCAACATTCTGATTCTCTCGCAGGTTAATCTTCTTCGTCATCCAACCTGAACGGTTTCTTCCCATGTCCTCATTTAGAAAACGACCTATCCTTTCCCCCGTTTTTAAATTTCAGTCGACCTTCTCCACTTTCCCGACAATCTTCTCCTCAAAGATAGGCAAGATGGCATCGTTGTCCCGAACCTCCTCAAACACAACGCCACAGTCAAACTCGTTGCTCACTTTCTTAAAGTAGAACCTGAACAAAGAGAATAATGTCAAAGCTCCTCATTAAATGACCATCTACAGCGTTCCAACATGGCGGAAGCAGGCATGCACTCTAACCTGTATTTGCCCTTTTTGGTAAGCAGCTCCTTAAACTGGCCCAAAGTCACAACGCGGCCTTTGACCGATGTTCTGTAAGGGATTGGCTCCCCACAGAAGTAGTACGCCACCGTCATGTTCTCACATACCTGCCGCTTCCCAGACTTATGCCTTAAAAGAAGAAAAGTCCTTGTTAAAACCATAAAATTAAATCACTGAGTAAAAATGATAAAAAGGGTCTAATCTTTACTTCTGCTTTGCTTGCAGCAACGCAGCTCTCCTCCTCTCCTCCTCCAGCCTCCTCCTAGCCTCCTCCAGCTGAGTGAGGGGGTTCGGAGCCGGGTTGGGGGGCATAGCCGGGTCTTGTATGAATAGATGTGAAGGCTGAACCTGAGTGGAGGATGAGCCGGGAATAGTCGTGGACACAGAGGAGGGATTGTTACGTAGCTGGGCAGAGACCCAGGGGTGCACAGCTCCAGGTCGCTCCACTGAAGTGGGCCGTGGGGACTCGCTGCTGGTTCCTGTTCTCCTGGAGCTACTGGTGCTACTTCTGAGTAAAAAAAATAAAGATGAAATTGTAATGACGACAGATAAGTTCAAGAGTGTTCTTTTGTACATGGGATTACTGTGTGTCTAATCAGGTAAATAATACTAAAAACATCTGAATGCAACAAGAATCCAAGCTCACTAAACAAATAAACAAAAAGACAGTTTGACCGAAGACGAGCAGTTCAGCTGAAGACATTTCAGCCAGGATGACTCACCCATGAGAACTCTTCCGTTGTCTATCTCCCTCCATCATCCACTGCAGAATCTTCTGGTTTCTTTCCAGATCCTCCATAGGCACCTGGGTTTCCAGGCCACGCCCACTCTCATCAACTTTGCCCGATGACTCTGCTGTCTTCTTGCAGCTCCGTCGTGACATTGTGCTACCTTTACTACTGCAGATTTGACAAGAAAATTAAAAATGAGGTCATCTGAATAAATAACAGCTATACAGCATAAACGCAGAGATGACACAACTGCATACCTGTAACCCATCCCCTCAAGGGTGCTGGCCCCTGCTCCGTCTGCGTAGTTCCTTCTTGCTGCGTACTGATTGGCTGGATCTCCGTTCCACATGAAGTTTGGCTGAGGCCTAGAGCCCCCCTCCTCCTGGCCTTCTCTTCCTCTGTGGTATAGCTGCTTGTGATGATACACACCTGAGGCCAATCAGAGGAACGTTCATTAGTGAACACTGGGAAAAAACTCCCAGTAAGTGAATCAATTCAAATAAAATAAATTTTATACTGTTTTCTGTCTGAACTGAGCAGGTCCTGATGACAGTGTCCTACCTTTGACTCCAGCAGGAGGGAGACTATGACCCCCACCTCGGTGCGCCGGGTAGTGAGGCGGCCCGATTCCTCCATCAGGTGAGCGAGATGATTTAGGTGGAGTGTGTCGACCACCTCCTCCCAAACTGCTGTTGGTTGCCCCCGGTGACTGGCAGCCTGGTGTTTTCATCACCCGCTGCACATGCTCATCCAGAATGGATTCTGGGTCATCTTCATGTGAGTCCTCCATGGCAACCAGACCGCCATACGTGGCGGCCGTCCCTGTGTTAGCAGTGGTCTCTGAATAACGGGCACCATAGAGAGGAGGAAATGATGATGGGAGGGAGAGTGGTATGCTATGAGAAGACATAGAGGTCGTCACGGAGATGTCCGCATCATCCCCTTCTTCTTCCTGTTGGACGCAGAGGACCAGTATATTAAACATCTCCACACTAAAATAAACCACAACGTCATACGATTAGGAAAAAAACATCTTAGAATTAGGGATGCACCGATGGATCGGCATTTGATCCCAATCGGCCGATAGCGCTCCTATCGGTTTTGATCGGAGTTTTCAAAATAGATCAAAGCAGACGATCAGGTAGGGTTGTCACGATAACCGGTATAGCGGAAAACCCCGGTAAAAAAAGTTGACAATAATAATAACCATCTTGTTTTTTAAAAAACTATATTATCTCGGTGGGTTACCGTGGCTGCGGTGTAGGCGCGGTGACCCTTACCAGCCACCGTATCATCTGCTGAAGTTGCCGGCGGCACATGCGCGCTTTGTTGTTTACAACCAAAACTTTCTTGAAGCTAAAGCTGAAATAATGGCCAAAAGAGGAGACGGCAGCACTCAGGACATTTTTTATCCCTCAAAGAAGACAAAGTGGGAAGTACGGGCATGTTTTGGATATTTGAAGAATGCCGAGGGACAGTTGATAGAAGACGGCTATCCTGTTTGCAGCACGTGCAGAAAAAGTGTCTGTGAAAGGCAGCAACGCTTCAAATCTCATGACACATCTGCGTGACCATCACCCACAACTCTACAGTCAACGCAAGGCAAGCTAACGTTAGCGTTTTAGCTAAAATGCGTGATCCGAGGATTTGGGTTGAGGGAAAATGCAACGAGTCGCTATATAAAGCAGCCGCAGCGCCGCTACCTGCATATAAACCGTGTCTCGGACACCGCCATGTTGAAATGACGCTATGCATTACGGGGCTCCCAGGGGCAGATAAGAGTTGGTCTCTCTCCGAGAATAATTATGAATTTAACAATGATTACTGCCTGATGATGTTTTCCCACATCTGCAAAGCTCACTGGAAGGACACAAACCGAGGACAATATTTTCCTGATATAGGGTATTACTCAAGTAAGGGTAAAAAAGTATCTGATTAGAAGGCTACTTGAGTACTGAGTATCATCTGATCTAATATTTTTAAAATGATGACATCAAACAGACATAAAATAAGAAGTTATGGGCAAATATTGGTATTTTAAAGACTAAAGGGAAAAAATGTAAACAAATAAACAACATAATTACAAAATAACACATTTTAGGCTAAATTTAGACACAAACTGAGGACAATATTTCCTGACATACAGGGTTTATTTAATTGTGTGAAAATGTAGTACGTAAAAAAAAAAATACTGCGATAATACCGAAAACCGTGGTAATTTTGGTCACAATAACTGTGAGGTTAAATTTTCACACCGTGACAACCCTAGTACAGACCATTTTAGATTAGGTTACATTTCCTTTATTCCCAGATTATGTAGTTTGTAGCACTCATTATAATGTTGTAGAAAATTTCTGGCCAATCCACGTGATCGGTATGGGTGATCGGCAGCAAAAAACCTAATCGGTGCATCCCTACTTAGAATAAGAAAAAAACAGTATGCATTTTTTAGGAGACACACACGCACTGAAACCAACTTATTAACAATCATTATCACACTTAAAGGTCACATGCGGTTGAGCTCTCACCAGTCGTACTCTCTTCAGCCTCTCCTCCAGTCTTTCCTGAGCCTCTCGTTCTCTGACAACACTCTCCAGCCTGCTGATGAGCTCTGCTGCAAACCTCTCTGGTTCTACATGGATGTCCTTTGGCATGCGATACGTGCGCTTTATAAATAAACACACACACACACACACACACACACACACACACACACACACACACACACACACACACAAAAGATAATACATTAGGTAAGTTTCTACACATGTATGCTGCCAAACTTTAAATGCCAAATAAAATGCATTAAGGAAATTATAAAGTAAGCCAGTAAAAGAGTAAAAAATGACCTAAACAGGAAAAATAAAATATTACAGTCTAGAACATCTAGAAAAATGGTTTTATAACAGCTTCTTGAGCTCAACTACAAATATCAAGTCATATGCCTTTTATATCAAATTAAGCTAAAAGGAACCAAACAGCACTTTCATATTTATAATGATGCAGAAAAACATACATTTTTTAATGACTGCAAACAAGTCCAAACAATTTTGTGTTTTGAATTTTTAAATTAGATCAAAAGGAAAAAGCAAAAACAGCAAATTGAGAATGAACAAAAGGGCTAAAACACAAAAATGTTATGCAAATCCAGCCTTTACTCTGCTCTGGAGATTAGTGAAGTAGGTTTAGAAGCAGTTAACTATATTTATACATTTCTATAAGTGCATGAAAAGCTTAACGTCTATACTTACAGGTATATGAGGTAGGGGCACACGGCCATTGGCTTTGGCACTTTCATGCATCTCTTTACGATGCTGCTTCCGATATCTGTATGGAGGAATGCCATCTCTACACACAAACACACAATTAAAGTTCGTGCAGTGTGTATTATTTTTGTTTAGCCAAAAAAAAAAAAAAGTAAAAAAGCTGAATTAGTTTAAAGGGACTATAAGGAAGTTTGACAGCCAAAACAAGCATATAAATAATACATTTCTTCATACATTCTCCTGCAATGCCCTGGTCCTGGAGAATGCATTTTTACTGTGATTGCCTGTTTTTCTGTAAAATCACAGAAAAAGAGAGTTGCTCGGGTCGAGCATGCTACTTCATGCGCGTTCACGCTCAGGCATAGCCCGTAGCGTTTGCTGTCCGTAGCTTTAGCAGCAGAGAGTGAGGTAGTGCCAACTCAGCGACTTCGTCGCTGTTCCTAACGCCTAGTGATGAACCTAGCTACATTTCTGAGGACCCTTAGCTACTTTCTTCTAGATATTTCCTGCAAATTAGCAACAAAATAGCCATTTTCGCTCCGAACCGTTCTTTGGATTGACGTTGTTTCAGCTGTCATCAACGATATAAATGTTACTGATACATTGAACGTCACTGGTGTGTAGCTCACCTTGTAAGATGTTGGACTCTCATGCAGAAGATCTGGGTTCAATTCCGGGTGTGAACATAGTTTATTTGGAGTTTCTTTTTTACATCAATGATATATTTTTACAGTAATAAGACGCCCACATTTTTATTTGAGACTCACCGAACGGCATTGAATTCACGGATAAAAAAGATGTGGGTTCAACTTTCATTTTGGGACAATTTTTCAAGCAAGGGAAGGGAATGATCTGAGCATGCAGGAGGACTGACCCGTCTTAAACCTTTGTCAGCTGTGCTGAAGAGAAAGGTACAGAACCAAATTATTTAATTAATTAGCTGCACGTTCTCCTGTCCTCTATCCTCCGGGCCACACACACACACACACACACCAGGGGTTGCATGACTTAATTTTTTTTAAAGTCGACAGTCAAGTAATGAAAATCGAGTCGACGTCGACTAGTCGTTGATGACGTCATACACCTGAAGCGGCCGGGGGGGGGGGGTTGGTTCGTTGGAGTTTTTGACAATTAAAATTGCGCCCACATTTTCAAAGTTAAACACATTTCTTTTAACAACGGTAGTTTCTGCTTCAGCCCTCTCCCCCCTCCCCCTGCACAGCAGCCACAAACTCACTGATGCGCCTGCAGTCTCTCAGAGTTGCTGCTGCTCTAAACATTAAAATAATTATTTCATTTTCTGTTCCTCACTTCTGATTACCTTCAATGGTGTCTGTTTGTTGCAACCACCAGGTACAAAAACTAACTTGCTTTTATTTGACTATTTTTCTGTCCAGTCTCTGTTTATTGTCTTCCTGCATCTCCTCTCAATCCTAAAGAAAAACTGCTACCTGGCTTCATATATATTCACCTCATGAGTTACCTTTGAACTGCAGTTCTAAAAGATCTATCGATTGCATAAACAGCGAAGTGCGAGCTGCTCGCCGGCCGCAGTGCGTCATCAGAGGACAAAACAGATGATGCGCCCCGCTCCACAGCAGCGGGGTGCATCAGGCAAAAATAAGAGACAGAGAACATAAAAGGAAATGAGCCGACAAGAACGATCGCGTTACATTTGTTTTTGAGGTGGTGACACCTGATTTGATAATTTTACTGTGGCCGTGCTCAGGACGCAGATCTCTGGAGCGCGTCAACAATCAGAGCTTTGCATGCGCAAGCTGGTTAAGATTAGGATGGGGGTGAGGGGAAGGTTAAATTGCAAGAGGGAAAAGGTCACAATTTGGTTAAATGTCCGTTTTACGGCGGGTGTCAGTACCGACGCTCTGGCACAGCGCGTTGCCTCCGCCTCGATCCAGACGCGCAGGGGCTCGTCACCTGCTGTCTTTTCCGAGGACTGCATCTTGTCATTATCACGTGACAGCGACTAGTCAATGACAGGCATAAAAAGTCACTACAGAGCGGTGAAGTCGACTAGTTGACTAGTTCATACAACCCCTAACACACACACACACACACACACTGCATGTTCGGCCGGCCGACGAGAAAGTGCAGCTGCAGAGACAGAGGCACATTATTTGTCTTAATTTCCTGTGTTCTTCTGTCCTCCGGGCCACACACACACACACACACACACACACACACACACACGGGACTGTCTCAGCTGTTATTTTCTTTAGGGAGTGTGCACGTACAGCATCCGCGCCTCGTGCACGAGCCTACTATTGAAGCTAACGTTACCCTTTTGGCCTGAGGGGGCAATCGCGAGGATAAAAATTCAAAAGTCCGAAAAGTCCCTTTAAAGAATAGAAGAAACAGAGAGTGAACTTACACACTGCTGTCGGTCAGCGACAGTGTGTCTGCATCGCTCGACATGCTCTGCTGCTCACTGTCATTGGCACTGGTCGCTGGAGCACGAGCGTAGCCCATGTTGGCGTAGTACGGGTTTACTGGCTCTCGCCATGGTCTGAGAAATGATCGGGACATTGTGATTAACACAAACACCAAAATGCTAAAGTAAATCCAAAACATTTTGTCAAAATTAATTTCATTTCCACATTTGTAGTGCCTGTTGGTAAGTATGTTAGACAGCTGGATTTTCCTCAAGAGGTGAACATCACAAGCTCACCAGCTGCATTCTGTTCAGTTTGACTAATTGTTTATCATCAAAATCAATAGATAATAGTAGCAGGTATCACTAAGGGTTATACAGTAATCCCTCGCTACTTCGCGGTTCGTTCATCGCGGATTCGCTGCTTCGCGGATTTTTTCTTTGGAGCATTTTTCAGGGGGAATTCGCAGATTCGCGGTATTTTTCACTGATTCGCGGTATTTTTCACTGATTCGCGGTATTTTTCTATGCGAAATATCAAGAAATTCTTGTTTTTTTTTCATCAATTTCATCATAAAATGCACTTTTTGTAATAAAACTAAAAAAACCAAGTAAAAAAAATTTTTTTCTTGAGTTTTACCCACAAAAAGAGAATGTGATCATACGATAATTCAGTATAGTACTGTATGTCAGACAGGGCGGCTGGATTCGGGAGTTGAGCTTGTAGGGAGCGTGGTTTCACAGACGCGGAAGTGAGAGCGTCGGTGAAACGCCGGCTGATCTAGGAAACCCCCGAGCGTTCGAGCGTCAACGAAGTGACACGGAAATGCCGGGCTTTCCAGAAGTAAGTAAGATAACTTACTATGAGCTGATAGTTCGTTGGATTGATCGGTAGGTTGGAAACTCTTATCATGAATCTGAAGAAACGATGACTGAGAGGTGAGCTGGAAAGGCGACTTCCGTTTACAGCCGCGGTTTGTGACGTAGGTGCGACGTGGAGGGAATCCCTGCGAGGGGCATGCTGGGAGTCCCTACTTCGCGGATTTTCACCTATCGCGGCCAGGTCTGGAACGCATCTACCGCGATAAACGATGGATTACTGTAGTAGAATAAAACCAATAATTAAAACATTTTAACTTCAAGTATTACACTGTAAAAAGGCTTCTCTTTTGTTTGAGCGTCACATTTTATATTGTGATGCTACAAATTAATTCATTTGTAATTCAATGACTGAAATATGAATGTATCATATGAATGAATCAATATTCAACAGCTGTTTTTGATAGAGAGGGTGGATACGATTTGCAGGGATCAAATAATTTCAAGGTGGTATGCGCCCGCACAACCCTCAAAACACTGCATATCCAGAGGAGGTGTTAAGCTTTGGAATGGTTTAAATGACAACTTACAGAGAGCTGCTAGTCTACTACTACTTAAAAGACAATATAAGATGACTATTATTGAGAAATATGTTGAGAATATGTGATGGGAAAGCTTCTTGGTTTTATTCTGACTATGTGTTGTTATATTAAAAGAACAGTACAAAATATAAAACTGAATAACAAAATATGCATGAAAGGTTCATTAACAAAACATTTACTGTCAAAAAGTCTAATATTGGAATGTGGGGTAGGTGCACATAAGCTTCTTTGCTTCAGCCTACTCCATTTGAGCATTGTTGTTGTAATGTTGTGAAATTTGAAGGAATACAACAAATGTAACTGCTTAATGAATGTGTTAAATAAATAAATAAATGACCAGTACCTTAATTTGACTTTGGGTAATCATATTCTCCTCAATTCTGAGATGGTTTTAACTTGTAACATTTACAGGAAATTTGCCTTATTTTAACTAAGAAAACCCGTAAAGTTATTTTAACAGACTAATTAGCAGATATGCATGTTTAGATAAAAGTTTCATTTTTTCATAATTGTTTATCATTTGAATAACCACACATTCAGTTTCTGAACTAATACAGAACTTTAAGGTAGCGTTTTCTCTTAATTGTTACGTTAAAATAACAGGTTTGATTTTATAGTGTAAAATTGTCATTACATTTGACTCACTGAAAAAAAATTCAACAGTAATTACGGTGATCCACTTTATGAACACACACCTGCACTCCCTGCTGTCCTGTCTCCTCCTGCTGCTCGAGGCTCTCTGTGGTGCCGTCTGCATCAGCAGGCTGTGGGTGAGCCTACTAGCTGGTGTATCGCCACACTCCTCGTCTTTCTCTTCTTCCGCTTCTCCAACTCCCCCTCCACCTCCACACCTAACGATCAGAATAATATCAGTTGGTCAGATACAATAAAAGAAGTCATGATCACAATCCCTTCACAATGACTATGTTTACCTGCAGCTAGGGCTGCTCAATTAATCGAATTTTAATCACGATTACGATCTGAGTTTTGAACGATTATAAAAAACATAACAAGCCGATTATTTGCTCCTCCCGCTTGCGCTGCCCTAAGTTGCAAATGAAGCGCTCCTCCACAGTGTTGCCAACTTAGCGACTTTGACGCTATTTCTAGCAGCTTTTCAGACCCCCTTCTTGACTTTTTAATCCTAAAAGTACCTAGCGAACATCTCAGAAACATTTCTGGTAACCCTTAGCTACTTTCTGGATAACTGTCGTCGACATTTCCTGCAGGTTAGCTAAACACTCCGCCTGTGCTCCGGACCGTTCTTCACAACATTAGGAAAGGGAATGATGCAGTGATGTGTCGGTCGCTAAAGACAGCTCTCGGAGCCGGCCCCTTGTTGGATTAACCAGAGTGAGTGACACACACACCGCACCTGCGGTCTCCTGAGCAGCTAAAAACAGCTAAATGTGCGCGTGCGGCGTGCTAAACACACGTGCAGCTTGCCCGATTGCTGTGAGACCGGGGGGGGTGCAGCTGTGGTCGGGACAATTATTACATTAACTGATGGGCCTGTAAATAAATAGTTTATAAATAAGGTAGAAATAAGTTCCTCACGCTGATAACTAATCTCTCTGAGGACACGGTGCTACAGCACCTTGACACGACTCAATAAATGTTATGTAACATTTTGTGAACATCAATTTATTTGCATTTATTTGTTATAAATGCCACTTTATAATTCTTGCTGTCAGTATTTGCAAGATATTGGTATTTGGGTCTGTACTGGTTAGACTCAAGGTCTATAGCCCTTGGGTCATAGACTATGAGCTATAAGTATATTGGTCTTTTTATCCTGGGAATCAGGAGTTCTTTTAGTGATCATCTTGTTTCTTATTTTTGTCCTGATTGTGCCCTGAGCAGTTTTATGACTGAATAAAAACAAATAAAATCAACATAAATTGAAAAATCGTCCTAAATAATCGTGATCTCAATTTCAGTCACCATAATCGTGATTATTATTTTTGCCATAATCGAGCAGCCCTACCTGCAGCTAGTATTCAGGTTTCAGAAAAATTTGGATTAACCCGTTTATATGCACAAGTAGAGAGAGTTCCTCCTGTGTACATGGAACTTCTAATATCCTGATTACATAGTGTCAGGATCAGGACATACGAGCTACTTTAAGATGTATTATGCATTATTCTCTGTTTTTCTTCCTACATAAATACTATGTGCACAATCAAACCACAAGAGACGGCCTTTTACATATCATGAGGAGACTGCAAAATAGCAAGTGACACTTGATTTTACATTATTTCAAATTCAATTCAATTCAAAGATACTTTATTAATCCCAGAGGGAAATTAAGAGTTTCAGTACACACAATTCTGAGATCAGACATACATAGGCATAGACACATGACAAGAATTGGTGACTGTGGTCATTCGCAACCTGAGTTGCGCCACCTTAATACAGATTAGAGGGGTTTACATGAGGCTTGAGTCAGGTGGAGGAAAAAAAGGCACTTCAGAGTTACCCTCCACAGGGAGGGCAGCTTTGCTCTGCAAAAAAAAAAGCTGCTAATTACACTTTTTATCAGGTACAGTGCATATTAAGTAGCATCTGTGGTACTAATAAGTCATATTACTACCTGTACTTATTGTTACAATACCTGTACTTATTGTTACAATTGATCTTAGTTACGTAGCTATTGTGCTTATAAGGCAAGCTGCATCTCACCATGTTGAACTCTACGGGTTTACTTCCTATATCCTGGCGCATACAAGAAGTTCTTCTACTGACTCAAAAGCCCAAGATTCCTTGCGAATCGAACATGAGCAGAGCGCACCTTTGGAAAGAGTTATCCCGTTACGCGTTTTCATGACCTGATGTTTGGGTTAGAAAAGGGTCCCCCCAGGTGTAAAACCCTTGTTTTTAAAAACCCGGTAATGAGCATAACCAGGTTTTTGCCAGTGTTCACATGGCCTTGCAGAACCAGGTTATTGCAGATAACCAGGTGTTTAACAGGTTATTGGCTGCATGTAAAAACAGTCAATGTTGTCAATTCTTGGCAACAAAACACACACCTGTGAAAAGCATGAGAAACAGCGTACAGCGCCAATCTCACCTCCACTCCTCATCTTCTGCAAGAGTAGGCAGGTACCCAGCCAGAGGCTTAGCTGGTCCCGATGAAGGGCTCTGATCACTGGGATTGGGCTTGGGGCTCTCTCCTCCTGTCCGAGTGTACTCCAAGTACAGATCAGATTTGAGGAACAAAGGGTAGGTGTTCTCTTCCATCATAGCCTGGATCTCTGTCTGAGCCTTCAATACAGACAGTGGGATTTACCAAAAACCAGTCATTTTCAAATCAATCCAACCATAAATTAATAAAAACAATGTTGTTTGCTTACAGGTAGACTTGGGCTGAAAATTAATTTTGAATTTCAAGAATCAATTTGAAACAAAATTATTTATTGCCAGTATAATCATTAGATTACTGCTCCAAGTTTTTAAGATGAGTTGTAATTTTTCCTCACCAGTGTTAAAACATCAGTTTTCTTTCAACTCAAATCAAATCTCGTGTTGATGACAGAGATGTTGTGTGCTCAGCATAAATGAGTACACCCCACTACATTAGTCAGAAAACCTTTAATTTCCTTTCAGAATCAACGTTTTCAATGAGACTACTACAAAATACTCCCACAAATGTGGGCCACTGATTGCAAACAAGACTTGTTCGGTTGCACACAAAAAAGTGATTTTCCTAACAAATCCATTCAAGCCCATGCTGCAAAAACGAGTACACCCAAATTATAGTCTTAGGAGAAAAACCACACCTAAAACTACAACATTAACAGGCATTCAACCACAGGTGAGTCTAATGATTCATGTAAGAGGTGTCCAGATGACAGGTGACTATAAAAGGGCGTTAAAGAAAAGCTCTTCCCATTTCATGCTGTCAACAATGGCTCCATGTAGAAGAGAAATGTCACAAAATCTGAGAAAGGAAATAATTTCTTTACACAAAAAGTTGAGAACTACAAGAAGATCAGCAAAAAAATGGCATATTAGTCAAAATGCTGTAGCCAATGTGATCCAAAAACTTGGAAGTGCAGCCATCTTACAGAGACGTTCAGGCCATCCACAGAAGTTAACATCTGGACAGGAGCATCTTCTGATGAGAAGGGTTGAAGAAAGTCACCATGCAAGTTTACTGCAATTAGCTAAAGCAGTAGAAAACCAAACTGGAATGACCGTTTCCCATGACACCACACGGCGTACACTGCAGAGGAATGGCATGCATGGGTATCGTCCACGAAGGAAGCCTCTCCTAAAGCCCATGCACAAAAAAGCACACCTAGGATTTGCTAGGGCCCATGCTGAAAGAGATGAAGACTACTGGGACTCTACTCTGGAGTGATGAGACAAAGATCACCATTTGTGGAACTAATGGTTTCAAAGCTGTATGGCGTCGTAAAGGCGATGATTTCAAATAGAACTGCATGGCGCCTACAGTGAAACATGGAGGTGGTAGTGCCCCTATGTGGGGCTGCAAGAGTGCTGCTGGTGTTGGGGAGCAGCAGATCATTGATGGTATCATGAACTCAACAATGTACTACTGAAGAAGATGCTGCCACCACTATGTGCACTTGGTCATCGTGCACTTTTCTAACATGACAATGATTCAAAACACATCTAAAGCTACTGTTGCATTTCTGAAGAACAGGGTGAAGGTGATTGAATGTCTTCTGATCTGAACCCAATCAAGGTTCTGTGTGGGGAACTCTGAAGCAGCAAGTTGAGCATCACTCTCTCCATCCAGCATCCAGGCTCTGAAAGAGGTTCTTCTTGAAGAATGGAAAAAGATGCTCCTATTTGTCGTCACCTTGTTCATTCCATGTCTAGAAGACTTAGTGCTGTCCTTGAAAATCATGGTGGTCATACAAAACACTAGATGTAGTAGTTTTTCTTGTGGGGTGTATTTGTTTTTCTAACAATTTTAGTAAAACTGAAGATTTTGTGATTTAAGTTGTATTATTGACCTTTGTTTGATCATGTTATGGAGTTAAACAAGTTTCAAATAAAAGCCAGCCTTGTGAAAATTCTGGAAATTGTTCTTTTGTTCATTGAGCTGCTGATTAAATTCATACTTTTTAAAAGGGGGTGTACTCATTTATGCTGAGCAAGGTATATACCATTCTGTTTACTTAAAATGAGAAACTAAACAGCCTCTAGATTTCTCATCAGCATTGGTGTGCTGTGGCTTTAAGTTGCAAGAAGCTGCGTATGTATTCAGTGATTTTATATCCGTTTAGCTCAAGTGATTAAAATGCAGATTTATGTGCAGGACAAAATATTAGAAAATTAAAATAGCATGCTTACTTTAGAGATTTTTTTAAACTAACGAATGGATCGTTCAGATTTCTCTAAAAAGCCAAATATAAAGTGATAAAAACCTATACTGTAACTATTGAACATTTTAAGTGATTACAGCGGATCAAGCCTGCACAGGGTAGAAAGTAAAAGCTAAAACCCCAATGACTGCTGCTGATGTTTACAACGTTTAGGCTATTTAAGTGCGACACTTTCAGTTATTATAACGTTATTAGAAAGCTGTGTAGGGTGAAAAGAGATCAAAGGTCAAGCTGACACTTAAGGTCGTTTAGAGATAAAAACATTAACAACTTAATTCAATCTACGTTCCAACCCTCATCTATGATCACAGGCTTCGGGTAGTAACCAAAATGAACCAAAAAGATGGCAGATTAAAGTAGCCGCAATGAGTTTTCTCTGCAGGATGTCTGGGCTCTCCTTTAGAGATAAGGTGAGAGGCTTGGTCATCCAGGAGGGGCTCTGAGTAGACCCGCTGCTCCTCCATGTTGAGGGGAGCCAGTTGATGTAGTTCGAGCATCTGGTTAGATGCCTACTGGACGCCTTCCTGGTACAGATTTCCAGGCACGTCCAACCAGGAGGGGAGCGAAGGGAAGACGCAGGACATGCTGGAGGGACTACGTCTCTTGGCTGGTCTGAGAACGCCTTGGGATCACTCTAGAGGAGCTGGCCAAAGTGGCTGGGGAGAGGGAAGTCTTGGGTCTCTTTGCTTGGGCTGCTGCCCCCGCAACCCGACTCCGGATAATCGGATGAAAATGGATGGATGGAATTTAATTATGGGTTAGGTGAATTTTTCCCTGAATTATATAAAACTAATGCAACAATTACTCAGATATCTCAATAGTTGAGAGGAGAAAACTTGGAACATCACTGAAGATCAGTGACAGGAACTGGTACATAAGTTTACAAAGAACACATAAAGGGTAAAAAAGGAAATGACTTTCATCAGCATCCATTTACATCAAATTATTTAAAGCTCAGAGCTGAACCTTTTGGGTCTCGTGCATAAAACCTGTTCAGATCAACACACTCCTTCTCTGCGTCAGCAGCAACACCCAACAGACCTGAAACCTGATTCACCTACTGACAGTCTATCCTCTCAAGGTCACAGTAACTATCATAAAGCAACATACAAAAGTTTAAATCATGTGCTGATGAAAAAGCAGCCAAATTCCAGAAAGAACAATTGAAAGACCTTAAGTAAGTCTGAAAAACTATTGAACAAGACTACTTTCATCCATCCATCCATCCATCCATCTATTGTCTGAACCCGCTTGTCCACGTAGGGTCGCGGGGGGGCTGGTGCCTATCTCCAGCGGTCAATGGACAATCAGGTGGGGTACACCCTAGACAGAGAGCCAGTCCATCGCAGGGCAACACAGAGACACACAGGACAAACAATCCTGCACACACACACTCACACCTAAGGACAATTTGGACAGACCAATCAACCTAACAGTCATGTTTTTGGACTGTGGGAGGAAGCCGGAGTACCTGGAGAGAACCCACGCATGCACAGGGAGAACATGCAAACTCCATGCAGAAAGATCCCAGGCCGGGAAGCGAACCCAGGACCTTCTTGCTGCAAGGCAACAGCTCTAACCACTGCGCCACTGCGCAGTCCACTACTTTCAAATATTACAAAAAAATTAAAGTCTGAATTCTGATCAAATATAAAGCAATGAGGATAGGATCAAAACTTCTGCACGTTGCTGTATGTTGCTGTAATTAGGAGAAGAAGAAAAAGATTCACTTAGTGTTTGTATCACCTGTTCAAACATGGCCGGGTCTGGATGCGGCTTTCCCACACAGTCTCTGATGAAGCTCTTAGTAGCTGCTTTGATCTGCCTGGAGACGATCCCACTTCCATCGACTATGTACTTCCTGTAGATGACCTTAGCCAGCTTTGGCCTCTTCTCCTGGCTGGTCTGCCTGAACCCCGAGCATGCAAACCAAAAGTCAATCAGGTCTGCGCACCCTTCCTGGCATAGGAAGCTTCTGAACAGCTGGGTGCCTTCCTGGTCATCTAGAAGAGAGTGTAGAGACTCAGCCCACTTCAGATAAGGTGGAGTTGGAGAGGCTGAGCCTTCAGGTTCATAGCCCAAGTCCAGGTCAGGGCGACGTGGGGTCGCAGACGACAAGGATGGTGTGCAACTTGACGGATCCCCCATTTTTGAAGACAAGGGATATCCTGGGGGTTGGCAAAGAGTGTTTGGACGGTTGTTGACTGACTGGACCGGGGGGTCCGGATCAGTTCCCTCCTCACCAGGAACCGGAGGCCTTGGAGCATCTTCGGTAAAGTGAGTAGGGCCGTTTAGAGAGGCCACAACTCCTCCACCGCTCCTGTACCCAATCCCATGTAATTCTCTGACAACACTCATGTCTCTGGTTGCTCAAGGCAGAGGTCAGACCTTCTCCTGTAGCATTGATTTTGCCAGAAAACAATTCACCCTAAAATGAGAATGATAAAGTTAGTTAGCTGCAGCAGAGTCCAAACAACAGACATAAACATTACGAGCATAGATATATAGGGGGGACTAACTCAGCTCTTATTCCCGACACTGACTTACACCACTGATATAAGTGGACACTCAAATATGAAAAGCACAGTGCCTTGAGTCTGCCCATATTCATTTCGATTTTGCTTTCAAAAAACAAAACTTTTAGAAATCACAAAGAGCAACATTTTTCTCACATTTGTCTTTTTGCAGATTTGTCACAATTTTTCAGTCCAGTCCTATTCTCAGGAATAGAAAGGCCTGTGAGCTCAAAGGACGTGTTGTGTTTATATAAAACAGACAAAATAGCAAAATCAATTTCAAACATGATCTTTAGACAGTCTGGATCTGTTATTAGCCATCGGCCACTAAGACATTTCGCTTCCATCTATTTATGCAAATCTATAAAATATATTAGTTTCTCATGTGATGGCATTTACACATCAATAAGCAAAGAAATACATTTTTAGGATGATGCAACTTTCAAGTCCAGATAGTTAAAGGCAGGATTTTAGATCATCTTAAAAACAACCGATAAGACGAAAATTTCTTTAGTTATCTACTTTTTAAAACGTTAAACACATTAAACAGCAAGTTATCAAGGTCAAGTAAAAGTACTGAACTAGTGAGGCGTGAAATTCACAAGAAAAACTACGAAAGACCCTGAGAATGTTCACTTTAAAAAGTAACAACGATGTGTGGCTCATCGGAATGAAGAAAATGAGTTATGATCTAACGTTGCCCCAGTCACGTATATAATACTGAAACAAAACGAATACATGAAAACTCACAGCCAATTCCACAAAACCCTATCCTAAGACCAAAACTGTTGTTAAATGCTAATTCAGCTCACAAACGAGCCAACTACGTTTATAATCAAGTCATTCACACACTCAGCTAAACAGGCAAAAGTCCAAGTGGCCTCAAACAACTGAGAACTATAAACGCAGATTTTCCCTCTGAGGTTCACTTATAAGTTGTTATCGTTTGCAATAAGCTAATTTAGCTGCGAAAGCAAACGCCATACCTCTCACTTCATAGAGTTAAACATCGCTTTCCAAACAATCAACTAGTGTTAACGAGCTAAGACAGCTAGCTAGCCATGTAGCAATGCCACCAGCAATGCCAAATGCTTTGAAGTGAGAATCTCATTCATCTTGGCCTGCAGAGACGGTGGGGGATGGGTACACTAACAAACTCTTACAGCTCCACAAGACTGGGCCTGCATGCAAGAACACTTCAACACACGCGTAAACTAAACAATTAGCCGTGCCAAGCAAACTCCCACAGAAGCATACCCAAACTTTCTTACTGATTAACTTCTACTAATCGGCTGATGTAACATCAAACAAAACATGAAAGCTGAGGGCACGTTTTCCACTCCAGTGGCTGCAGCGTTAAGCTAGCTCGGTGTGCTAGCTAACAGGCTAGGTGCGTTAACGTCCCGTGTTTTTTTTTTCACTGCCTCTCAACAAAAGCGTTTATTTGTTTTACCGTTTCTGGAAGACCGTTCCCCGTAATCCGCTGCATTGGGAATACTGGCGCGAACAATGTGCTCCAAAACGCGGCATATGGACTGGTTTAGTTACTAAATATGAACAAAACACATCCCGTCGCCTCCTTGCCCTCAACTCCCCATGGTGGCTAGTTTCAGAGACAGTACGTGAGTGCACGCGCCGACTGCGATCAGACCAACCGAAGAAACAGGAA